TTTACAACAACCTTACGAACAACCTTTTCACGTGCTTTCTCGTCACGAAAAGACCTTCAAGGTTGCTTGACATTGCCGCGTCGATATCGTCTGCATTGATCGTCTCGAGCCAGCACACGTTGATGATAGTGCCATACTTGCTAATCCTAGATCCAATGTCAGACACATCAAGCCTACTAGCGGGATTCTTAAAGCTACTTCGCATTTGACGCCAGATGCATCGGAGACCTCATTCTCACGTCCCAGTCAACAGCACGCGTCATCTGCACTATCTACGGATGAAACTTCGGTCTCACGTCCAGATAAGCACACCAGGCTGTCCCTGACTTCGGATGAGATTGCAAGCCCAAGAGGTACACTCGAGACTACCGTCTCGCGTTCCAGTCGCCGTGTACGCCTACCTGTACGCTTTCTCGAATAACCACCCACGCAACAACGAATAAGAGTTAGGACTCAATCCTGATACTACATGTATAACACACCACACCCCTTTTCCTTCGTTTGTATCCTGAGCCCACGCCTCCGATCATCGCCATGTTGGTATCATCAACTTCAGACAATCTTGGAGAAAGCTGGCCTGATCACCCAGGCTCTTATCAATTCACCTTGTCGATCTTGCGGTTCTGAATATATATGGCATATGTGTGATTTTGAACTTGGTCGTTTCTGACTGCCTCGCTCAATCTGGTCCCGTCCTACGTTTGCAGGGTTTTCTGGTCCCAGCCTTTCGGACTCTGGATACGCGCCAAGCTGGTTTAGCACGCTTACCTGAGCAGCAAACCTGGCACGGTAATACCAGTATAAATCAACGTAGAAGACTTTCTTTGACAAATTGAGCTTTATTGGTCGCTTCGTGTTCGTCAACCCTTCCGCCCTACAATCGCCCATTAGCCAACTAGCCCCTCCTCCGCACGAAGCCCCTACATGTTGAAAGTGTGAACCCATTTCTAGGGGGGGCTTTACGAAGAGAACACAACTGCTGGAATGGAAACGCTTATTATTGTAAACAGTTATAACTGTGACTGTTCCATTGCACTCCATTTGGTTTAACTGTACTGTAGGCCATAACTCGTGCGTCAAGCGTGTTACTCCCATTCCGCGTTTCTCCTCGATGGTTGTTAGCTGCTGCTTCATTACGGCCTTGATATCATTTCGATATCACGAGACTACGAATAAACACACCTTGTCACCCAGTCATAGTGTTCCTTCTGGTTTCTGGGTTCAACTGGATTTTATCTGGTAATCTCGCGACTAGTAGTTTGTATCTCACTACACGTTTGCCGACTGCATAATTCGACGTGACTTGATAACTTAGTCCGAAAACTTTATTCAAGCAACTGAACTGCTGGGCTATTTCGACTTACATGTTGGAATTCAGACATGGCCCGTCTCTTATTACACTTAGATATAGGCTTATTATAGGACCGTTCCAATCCCTGGGAGTTGAGTTCGGGAAGGCGGCATGTTGAGCAGCATCATGATTGATGCTGAAAGTATCCGACGTCTGTGACAGCAGACGTGGATTTTACCCACAAAAGCTCCGGTGCTCTTCAAGTTTCGAGGTTATTAAGTGATTGAGGAACGGCTTCTTCAGTCACGTGTATCAGTCCCACAACTACTATTTCCGTAGTGTGTTTATGAGAAGAGTTGTTAACAATACCCATAGAGTAGACCTCCATGAAATAGTTTGACAAAGATTTAGCTTTGGCCATATATTATTAGGCAAATAAACCTTAATTTTTGTGCAACAGTCATGTGGGAATTTCATCATGACGTTTTATTCTCCTTTCGATTTACAAAGATAATCGTTTTCAGCAAGCATAGGCAATGTAATTCCTATTCTCTTTCGTAAGTGATGAGTCATCTAACTAAGGTCTTTTTATATATATCCTGGATCGCACGATATTGACACTTACATGATTTCGGCCTGTTAAAAAGTACACGTCCCAGAAGCGTTTCCAACGCGATAGCATCTTGCAGGCTTCCCTAGAGATCCATGGGATGGAAGATAATATAATCGACTCAAAAGTGGCTTTCAATTTATTCAATTATCCTTCAGCCGGTTCACCTTCATTGATTCATTTATCTGTTGAGATAGTGCAGTTTCCAACTGATGGAATCTCGACTCGCCAAGTATTGGGACAAAGTGGATCAGATGCATCTTGCATAATATATATTTGAAACCGAAAATGAAGTACAACATCGTCACTGTTTGCATGTGAGGATAAGTATTGAATGCCAATTATTTCACAGTGGTGTATAAAGACCAAGTTCAACAATGATGGTTCGTGTTCTAAGTCAATATTTGTCGGTTTCGCTATATACTATGCCAATATACAACAGGCTGTCGTCAAAATATTCAATGAGAATGGTAAGTTCTCTCCAAATGATGTGCAGTATAATGAAGTTTCCAAAAGTGAGACCGCAATTAGCCCTACTACTAGTGTGGTGCGCGCTACTTGTAAGTAGTATATGACGCGTGTGTAAACGTAATGTCTGACAGCAGAAGATGGGGGAAGATCAAGAAAGGAAGAGTGGGAACACAATGGAATTCGCATGAAACGCATGAATAGTGAAATGTCAGACAATGGATTGATGATGGATCGAAGATTTGCAAATTAGTGGTTACGATATGGTTTTCCTATTTTACTGAGTAACTCCGTAATTTGCGATAAATACAATTCGGTTGCCCTCACCTGTGTTCTCCTTCACTACACTAGAACAAAGTGACTGGGTAAAGGTCACCAGTAAAACAAAGACTATGACCGATCTTCCCCCCATTGTCAGTAGCACAGTTCTAGATTTAATGATATTAACTGAGCATCAAACCACATAACAAGTACCACCATGACGCACCACTGATCTGCTCGACCGAACAAGAAATTGAGTCCTCGCATATAAAAATATGCCTCATTCCCTGTGATTTTTACCTGAGTCACCTTTAATACGGATCAACGTAGACATCTGATGTAGTGGCCACTATCCACCACTATCCATCAATAGTGGTATCAAATGAGGGGGAAATGGAGTCGTTCAACTTGGTATCGACTACTTGTTTATTGAAGCTAACATTTAAAGTAAAACAAGAGAAAAGACGTCAGGACGTCGAACATTCATAAGCTGTTATAAATCATCTCCAACCTATTAACTAGTTTCAAGAGCTTCAGTTTCGTAACTGCGTGGGTCAAAGAACCGGATAGACCCCAGAATGGTAAATATCATTTATCAGTCATTTTTGTCCTTAAATCAGAACCTGTGTATATCGAGTTCCTACCTTGTTATGTTGAGCTTTAAAAATGATGAACATTTTACCTCCCTCTTTAAAACAGATGACACCTCGTAGCAGCGTCCGAAGGGAAGGTTTATGATAGTACTGACGTGAAGTCGACATACAAACAATCACCTGCTAGTATAACACTGTATGGATGGAGATGTCATCGTTAACCACCAGATGGTATATTGGTGTATGGGGCAGTGACGTATGGATCGTACGAAGCCTCTTCCTTCTAACTCCATGCACTGAATTAGTATGGTTACTGACGGAAAATCATATACACCAACAAAACGCATCTGGCGGAAACAGAAATTGGGAAGCATATTGATTGTTACCCTGGCTGCAAATTAAAAAAGACCTCACTAGCCTTAACTACTGCGGGGCTTCTCTAAAGATAGTGAACACACTCGGTGGACTCCCACCACGTGGATAGTCCCGCCAACTACGCACGCGTCGGGTGTTTGACACGAAAACGGCTAAACATAATTCCTTCACCTAGCATAGTGAAACCCTAAAGTTCTATTCGAAAATTATAATGGTGCCCAAATAAAGAGAAACCAGACAGATGACAAGAAAGTACAACAAAATGAGTTAACAGCATACAACACCAAGTAACCTGAGCTGCAGTAAACGACTATTAGTTGCTACACTGTTGAGTAAACCAAACAGAACGCATCTTGCTCGACGTAAATAAAAAACTTGGCATATCATGCTCTAAGAATCTACATATATTTATTCGAATAATTTAAAATACAATAATGAATAGTATTTTAGTGCACAGAAGTACCTTCAGGGGAATTTGCTCTTAGTTACGTTTGTCAACATGCTAAAAGTATATCGAGCAAAAACGCCGATGACCAGTTACAGCTGCGATAAACTGCTGGTAATTCATTTATAATATTTCAACATGCCTAGAGTGATGAAGCAGTTACCTATGTACGTTCAAAGGCTGAGTGGGGCTAGCTAAAACAGAAATCTACTTGCTACTCAATATTTACAGTAGCAAACTAGCATTCCAAAGATGCTAGATGGTTAACATCATACGCCTAATCACAATTCACTGTTCCATCCGAAGACTTTACAGAGTACACTTTTAGCACTAATACATTGCTTATCACATGAGCATATATCGGTCAAGATTAGAGGACGCACGGATCAACCCAGCCTTAATATGTTATGGTGTCTTCGAGATTATGAGCGGCTAGAGTTACCTCGTGACTCACTGTATAGTTAGTGGCTCCTAGAAACATGGGTCAACCATCTCCACACCAGTGTGAAAAGCCTCCAACGACTGCCGACTCCAAGTAACCACAACCAAGGCGTCAGTAGGTCAGACACCAAACCAGCATGACAGGCAGTCACTCAACGACACAATCGCAATTCCCAAAGTGACTTTCATTCTGTGGCCTGTTTGGTCACCGGGAACAATCATAGGGAGCGGATGCAATCTGCCACAATCATACTAGCGGTGCATTAGTCTTCCCACTGCATAACACTCAACTGCTACTCTTAGTCATCTTGTGCAATCTGAGCACGAAATATTAATACTAGACAGGAGTAGACGCTCGACACTAGTCACGGGGCATGCGAGGGCCTCAGACAGATGTGTCTGAATGTCTCAGTTAGGAACCGCACGGCCAAAAAACACTATCCTATGAGCGTCCAAGGCAAAAACAACCCAATACACCCAAAAAGTACAGACACACCATGAAAAGCCTGGAACAAATAATCTTATCATGTTTATTTTGAACGATTGGTTACACCAACCGCAAAACTGTGACATTCTGAAAACATTCATGTACAAAGCTTTGCAATCAGATCTTAAGCAGCACAGCCAAATTCAGTCCTTGAACTGCTTTTAAGAGAAACTAGATTACAAAGCTGGAGTTTAATAGGGAAGGATGAGTATGAGTGAGTAGAGGCTTGGACTAAAAGCCTTCGAGAAAGTAAAGGTTGACAAGGGAGTTTTCTTAATCCAACACTGCTTCCTTTTTATTTCGTGAATTCACTTCAAGGAAGGGAACTCTTGATCGTTGTAGATTGCTGGAGGCGGAATGTGGTCGCCAACGGGCAGAACACGACCGAAACCACGGCCTCGCCCATCACTCCTCATTTGGCCTCTTCCTCGACCCCCACGTTCACCTCTTGGTCCTGCACCACGTGGACCACCACGACCACGATCAAAGCCCCTACCTTCAAATCCTCGGCCACCCCGTCTACGGCTTCCAAAGTCATCAGCAAAAGAGAAGTCAATGTCGATTGGCTGGTGCTCCTAGATTGAATCTAGTGTAAATACACAAAAGCAGAACATACCTCAGGCTCGTTTTCCTTCTCCTCCACCTCGTAGACGTCTTCGTGGGCTTCCTGTATTTTTCTGTGAGCTACCATGTTCGCAAACACATCTTTGCCATCATTGGCTTTGCGGAGACCTTTGTTGCTCAATAAGATGGCTGGTTTGGAAGACTGGCGCATAGCCTTGTATTCTTCCAATGTGTAGCTTTTTGGTTCTTCCTCAGCCGGTGTTTCTGTGTTGACATCCACACTCTCTTCGGCCTCAACAGGGGTGTGCTCTGACTGGTCTTCGGTCTCATTACGATCATCCGGGGAGCGCACAACTTGATCCGAGTCGCCACTCTCAGTTACCGCATGACCATCAACATCCTGAGAGTTCCAGTTTCCATCTCTTCGTCCATATTGTCTCGGACCCCTACAAAACAAAAGGCTAATATTAGCCGGGTTTTGAGGTTCTAAGTGTGCATCAGATAGTGTTTCCGCATTACATAGGACAGGGATAACAATTCATCATTAAAAATACACTTTGGGAAAAATCACTTACTGACGATCCGGACCATCCTGATTGTCGAAGTCTCGATTTGAATTGAATGGCATCCCACGACCGCGACCAAACATTCCTCTTCCTCTGCCCCTTCCACGTCCTCTAGGTTCGAAACCTGGCCCTCTTATAGATAATCATCAATATCACAACACACTTACCTAGGACCATTCATATCAATCGCTGGCTCTTGGGGCGCATCAGTTGGAGGCATCCGAGGACCCTGTCCTCTGCCCGCACGCATCCCTCGAGGTGCTCCTCTGCCTGAACCTCGGCCACGTACAAAATTACCAATTGGTTCATCAGGCCCCTTCGCAGATGTGATCTGTACGTCCTCAATTGGCGCTGGGGGTGGCTCTGTAGAGTTAGGAGTTTTCGATACCCGAGAAGCTGTTTAAATAACCAATATTACAATTTTGCTTACCTTTAGGGGCTGCAGTCTCAACCTTCACCTCATTCTTTGTTATTGTGTCGACCTTTACAGGCGCCACTTGCTGCTGTTGCACATGAGGCTTATCTTTTTTAGTCTTTTCAGCTCGTTTACTTTGCAACTTGGATAGCAAAATATCCGGGTCCTCACTGTTCAGATTGTCATCCAGAAACAGTGAGAACCTGCTCTTCACTTCCACAGAGTACTGATAGGCGTGGTCAACACCAGCCATGTCTACAGAATAGACTGCACACGGACCGTCAACATGATCACTGTAAAGGAACGGAAATGGGATGACCTTACTCAGCAAAACACAGCACTTACCGGTCAAAAACAATTGAATGATCAGTGACAAGTCGTTGCTATTCTTTGATGGTTTTCATAGTCTTGATTAACAAGGAAGTGATTTTAGCCTAGAAAATCATAAAATACATTCAAAGAATTCAATGGACAATGTGTGATGAACAGCTGGAAATTGTCTTCAGTTTTCAGTCTTAAGGATAATAGGTTGGTGGACTTAAGTACGTTATTTTCTGGAGATTTTCTCAATGAAGCTCCAGATTATCCGTGAAAGTGTCTACCTATGAAGCTGATACCACTTATTCGGTTTAGGTGTTCCAGTCATTGACTGGTCGATAACAAAAACAGAATCTCTTTCTGAGTTTATCCAATCACGGTTTTCGCGCGCACATGATGTTCCCTCAGAGATGGATGATTAGTTCTGAAGGTAGCAAGAAAATAAAATATATTGCTAACCTAACGGTGATTAAAGATACAGAATGCCAACACATTGTTACCTCGCGTTCTATGTAGGAGCTTATCGCAAGGGAATTTAAAAAGACTCCTTACTATCTTGGTTTGCACATGCTTGATTCGCTCGAGTATGATAGAATCTTTACTAGGGCATGGACTAATGAATTCACTGCAAAACTCTAGGTAAGGTCTCACGTAGATCGAGTGAAAAGTCATAACGTATCTGTGGCCACGCATTAGAGCGCTCATCGAGGTAACCATAGTACTTGTAAACGTTTGGTGGCTGCTGCATTTATATATAAGTCATTTTTAAGTCATGCGTTCTTGTTATTTCTTAGCGTTTCTGTTCCTGTACAAGTGGTAGTAAAGTATGGTTCACAGTATACTGTTAATTATTACCATGTTGTTAATGCCTCAACACTCTCTTTCCGAAATTATTTTATAATTTCTAACTGTGAGATCATCTAAATAATTTTTCTGGATCGGCTTGGAGGTCAAGATGACCAATCTTACCACTTATGGTTCCCTAAATTTCAACGTCATCTGCAAACAGTAGTGTGGACGAATTCATCGGTGTCAGTAGTCTGTTAATACAGAGAATAAAAATTGGGGACTTGAGATGAAGCTTATTGGTATACCAATTTTGACCGAATTCCATGTACTTAATGTTTCATTTGCTCTTATTCTTTGTTTATGGCCAAGGGAGGAGTTTCTTATCTACTCTAGTATGGCATCTGCTACTTAAGAGCTCGAGAGCTTTTATGTGATCCCTAAGTGAGAAGTCTCATCAAATGCTTTGTTAAATGCTATAAATGTCCTATCGACAGACGAACGGTTATCCTGAGTTACTGTCTGCTCCTCTCTCACAGTTGTTCAATCAGTAGAAAGCAAACCTCTTGCCTGAAGCTAATGAGTAACTGAAGCTTTTCCAAGAATACATAACCTATTGCTCTTAAATGAATTACGATATCATGGATATTTTGAATTTGGCATTGATATTTTCCGTCTCTATTTTCTAATCTACAACACTATCAAACCAGAAGTCATGGATGAAGAAGTTTGCAGGTATTTTCGAAGGATGATTGGGATGTCAAAGAATGAGTGATCTAATCTTTATAGTTGATGCGAGAGATTCATTGCATGGCTCACCCTACGATGAACTGGTTGCGTAGGCATGACAGAACTAATGAGGTCAACATCGATGTTGGAGCAAAGTTCATGAACTCAGGTAATATTTCTACTGCATCTACTACTATGGGATTTGAATTGACAATTCGATCTGTCTGTGTACTAATATTGTATGACAACTTGAACTAATGTAAGTACGTACAAAGTTCTACGTTGTAGCTGACTGAATGACGACTCACTGACTTGGAAATCTACTTATTTTGAGGATTTATTTACCACTACTTCAATTTTAACATTGATCGTTTTTTTAAACAAGTACATTTATCAAATGCTTAAATCATTCATCACTGACATAGAGAAAAACTGCATCGTCTACAAAATCAACTGTTTAGACTGTGAAAAACACTACATAGGACAAAGTGGACAGCCTGATCAGCTTCATTTACGTGAACATCAATTGAACTGTCAAACGCCTCGACAATTCTTCACTTATATCAATATATACGGAGAGCTATGGACATATATTCGATTGGAACAATGTGGAAGTACTGGATCGAGGGAGGACAAAGAACACTAGATAATTTTTAGAAGCTTGGGACTCAGGTCAATCAGCAATTAACAAACACATCGAAACTGATCCAGTTTATCAACTAATCAGAAAAACCATAGGTGACCCAAGATCAAAAACATATCAAAAGGAGGATACAATCATAACAAAGATGCAAAGAACGACAGATTTGAGGTCAACAGCAATCAATCAAGACCGAGGTTAACAGAACAAGCTATGGGTCAGAAGTGGGGAAATTCGAATACTTTACTCCTGTGTGAAGTTTGTGCTGATATTTTTTAGAAGGAGAACAATGAAAGCTCCACAACCAAAATATCCGCAGCTCAGAGAACGAAACAACACCACTGATCGAAGTTAGACGTTAGGCGTTCGCGCGCGACAACGAGTGTGTTGGGTTCAATTCCCGCGAGCTGGGATCATGGATGTGCACTGCCGATGAGTCTCGGACTAGGATGAAACGACCGTTCAGTGCTTCCAGGTTTCTAATTATGGTCTAGCATTGATTGATTGGTGATTTCAAATGTGTAAAAACACAAACCTCCAAAACTCTGCCTCAAAATCCTATTTTAGTTATCTAAGAGAATCATCTTTGACATTAGCGATCAGTATATTAGTATGGTTAGATTGTACTGAATATTGTTATGAATTCCTCTGTACTATCTACACCTGCATTAAATTAATGCACTTATTTCGTCCTTGAAATTATGAATAAATCAATCATCGTTAGACTACCATTAGAAACCTGAAAAGACTGGATGGCCATTTCGTCCTGGTATGAGACTCTCCAGCAGAGCACATCCACAACACACGCTATTCCCACGATTCGAACTCGGGATCTTGAGGGGGAACGCCCAACCTCTGGGCTACTGAGCAGGCATTCCACGGTGTGAATGTCTAACTCTGATCAATCTAAGGATTTTTGCGCAACTTCAACCATCCTCTTCAGTAGTTACTACCTACACCAGGGTTTAGGCTAACATCTCCTCACTAGAACTCTGAGAATTTCCTCGCGAAGCTAGTCACTACTGATCAAATTTTTTGATTTTGCATTAAAGTATCATAAAGATGGTTATTATACCTTGAAATCATGAATAAATCAATCATTATTAGGTTAGGCTTTCACATAAAAGACCTAAGACCCTAGGTTCGAAACCTGTGAGCAGTAGGAGTCACATGTGTGAACTGTTGATGAGTCTCATACCAGAACGAAGCAGCCGTCCATTGCTTTCAGATTTCTATTAGTTGTCTAAGAATGACTGATTCATGCACGATTTCTCCGAAATACTCCAATGCAAAATCACGTCTTATTTATTCCAAAGAGAATCAAGCGACGTATGCTTAGCTATGAAAGGTCAGCAATTGAACATTTTATGCATTCAAGATTCAGTTACATATTAGAATAGTTGACTTACCGATCAAAGCAGTTTATTATGAGTCACTAATCACAATGAAATGGAGATTACACGTAATAGGTAAAAGTAGAAGTTGACAGTAAGAAGACAAGTTTACTGATAGAGTAGCTAACGAGGACACAGGTGGGGCAACCGAATTGTATTTAACGAAAATTACAGAGTTACTCAGTAAAATTGGAAAACCATATCTTAAATTCTTAATTTGCAAAATATCAGTTCATCATATCGAACTGGACTGTTCCTGTTGCAAAACATCAATCCATTGTCACTATTCATGCGTTTGTTTCATACAAATTCCATTGTGTTCTAACTCTTCCTTTCTTGATCTTCTCCCATCTGCTGCTGCCAGACATTACGTTGACACTCACGTCATATACTACATATAAGTAGCTCACACTACAGTAGTAGTAGGTCAAACGTAGATAAATAGACCGGAAATTATCATTTATAATTTTCCGCCTCATTCCGTTTATATACTTCGTTATCCAATGATTTACAAACTTCTGATTACGTCGTAACTGTTTTTCATGTTTTTTTTAAATGATTATTTCAAGCGTACGTTTGACCTACTACCTCCTAATTCCCAATGTTCAACTATTGATAAAAACATTTGTTATCGTACTTTATTATTCTTACATTACTACTATAAGTACACTTATCTTCTACTATTGATAAAAACATTTGGAAATCGTATTTACACCTATCCGTTACAAAAGAAATTTGGTTAGATGCCTCACTGACAGAGCGAATATGATATGTTCAGTGGATAGTTTAAGTCAGGAGCTGGAATTCATCAACGACTCACTAACCGAGATTGGTTATCCCAGAGCATTCATATAGAAGTATATTTTTGCCGTAAAAAAAAGAAGTCGGTGGTTTCGATTGCCCAAAAGAAGCCTTTATTTATGAAGTTACAATTCAACGGAGATGTGGCCTGCGATACTCTGCAGGACAGATTCATAAGAGTAATTAGTAGAACATTCAACGCTGCCAAACTTGCATTGACTTTCTCCAGTCGACCAGCGATGTCTACCCAAACGAAGGATAAGTTACCTGAGTTGACCTCCTCTATGTGCATTTACAAATTCAGCTGCTCCTGTAGAGATAGCTATATCGGGCGTACTTCCAGGCAACTTAACCAACGAATGAGTGAACATCTCCCAGCATGGTTTACGAAGGATCAGTCAAAAACAATACGCAGTTCTATCTTAGCACACCTGGTAGATAGTGGTCACATTGTAGATAAGTCTAGATCTTTTCAGGTGATCTATCGTATACCTCAATCAATTCCCAACGGTGTTCGATCCCGTCTCCTACACATAGCAGAAGCCATAGAAATCCAAACATTCAACTCCAATTTATGTTTTCAGAAGAAATTCGTGACAGCCCCATCTCTTCCGTGGCCGGATATGACGTAACTAACGATTGATATTATATTTCTTATCTTATTTTATTTTTATTTTTACACATTTGCTTATTACGTAATGGTTTTGATGTTTTTGATGATTATTTGAATTCTATTCATCCACCTTTGACCTACTTTAGTTATCATATTTTATAAATTTTCTTACTACTATCTGTTCACCTATCTTCCTACTATCCACTTGTACTTTTGGCCTTTTTCATTTCATTGTGATTATCACTCAAATTGCCTTGATTGGTTTTAACATTTTCATACATAAATATTCATGTATATTAGAGAGTAATGCCTGGTAACGATCTAATCGAAAACTACAATATTGTTCGCTTATATGTGTTGTTCTAAATCGTATTTTATTATTCTTCTTACTACTACTATCAGTACGCCTGTCTTCCTACTGTCAGCTTGTATTTTTACCTGTTGTGTGTAGAGTTACGTAATCTCTATTTCATTGTGATTATTGACTCATCATAAATTACCTTGATTTGTGGTTTAATCTTTTGACTATAAATATTCATGTATAATATTAGAGAGTAAAGAGCCTGATGATGACGATCTAACTGAAAACCACACAGTATTGTACGCCTTTTGTTCGTGTTGTTCTAATGTTCACAATGGAAATCTTTGATATTCTAAATCTTTATAATATTACGTAATCATAAGTGTGTAACTCATTAGACAGTGAAGAATATAAACGGAAAGAGGCGAAAAATACGTCATACCAATACAGGATAGCAAAAAAAACTTTAAAATCATGTATCAAGTTATATCCCGTCAATGAAGGGACATGTGTATCACAAATTTCTTCTGAAACACATAAATTGATGTTGAATGTTTGGATTCCTATGGTTTCTGCTAATATGTAGGAGACAATATTGTATTCCGTTGGGGAAATGATGGAGGTATACAAGATAAATCATTCGAAATCAATCAGATTTGTCTACATTATGACCGATATAAATGTCAACGTGAAGAATTCGCTCTGCCTCAAACACATATGAATGTCTCTTTTCTAATGACAGATTCAAAAGGTGATTAGATCGATTAAGAAACCAAGCCCCAATCAGTTTCAGAGACTAGCAAATATCTTTTTAAACATCCAATTTTTAGTAGTACGAAATAGTAAATTAGTTTACGTTAAAATCTTCCTCATGACAATATTTGTGAACAATCTTCTGACTCGACTGGTAAGTCATTTTTTTGGTGAGCTCCTTATACATTCATTTACGTCGCGTTAGTCATCTTTTAATATTTTCAGGTGAATTTCAAGAGGGATTCAATGTATTGTTGGGACGCAGAATGTTCTTTGTTTAATTGCTTTAATAACCTAATCACCTAAGCCTATTACTTCCGATGAAGCACCGAACTGCATGCTTCATCAACCTATGACTCGAGCCTCCCTTTCCAGTTGAAACAAGACGTTATTCTTTCTATTCATGTCAGTCTCCAATATTCAGCACATTGTGTTCTTTGGTCTTGAGGATTCCAAACTAGTGCTTGCATGGTGACGCAATGTGTGCCATATCCTCCATCAGCGTTTTTCCTCCTCATCTGGAATCTGGTTTGTTCTATCCTAAAGTGGATTGTTGCTGTTAGTGTCTGGCCAGTAAATGTCTCAATAGTTGGGACGTAATAATATTCTGATCGATGATAATCACGAGATTATCTACAAAATATCAGTCTATTTTCGATTTGAAATGATAGAGGAAATTTGTAGCTCCTTTGGATAATTGTGGTGAAGTTCCTTTCTCGGAGCTGGATGTTTAGGTTGTGGAGTTTTTATCATTGTTCTTTTGAACAATATCATCAGCACAAACTGGAAGTACTCGAAAATCTCCATGTATGACTCGTTAACCTGGATCTTCATTGGTTGTTACTGACCATTACGTTGTCTCGAGTCAACTCCACAATCCAAAACATCCAACTCAGAGAACGAAACTCTGTCACAATATTTCCAAATAATTTACTAAGCTCTTTGGAAGATTCCTTCTTTCAAAGTGACGATAGAAGTGACCTCACTAGAGTGATACAAGAGTTATTAACTGGTGTTGAAGACGCATTACTCCAATGGTTTTCGGTTTTAGTCATGGTAACTTTTTTTGGTTAGCATAAAAACTGTGATAGACAATGGGAGATGACAACGAGACGTTGTAATTACTTAGAAAAACGAGTAAACATTGCCTACCATATTTTTTTTGGTTCGACAAACACGATCAGACCTATTGTAATTTTTTTCAATTGACCTTTTGGATTAATTTCATGTGACTCAGTTTGTGTCCTGTTCAAATGGTATTTGTATGTCTGTTTGTTGATTTACTATCCGTCTGTCTGTCTGTCTATCTATCTTCTCTCTCTCAATCAATCAATCAATCAGTCTATCTCTCCCTCTCTATCTCTCTATCTCTGCCTCTCCTCCTACTTCGCTCTTTAGCTTACCCTGCTAAGCTTGTGAACCATTTTTCACATTTCAACTCTTTACTAACCAACCAACTAACCAACCAAATTTCAGCTACACTTCGTCCTTCACTAGACTTATTGATTATTAGTGTGAAGCGAAGTGTCTTTCATAATTCTACCAACCATAGTTTAGCTAAGAGAAAAGAAGAAGAAGAAGAAGTAGTAGATGACTTCATTTAAACACATACACACACTTATGCTTTTTACTAACTAGACTAACTAGTCTATCTATCTATCATTCTCTCTCTCTCGCTCGCTCGCTCTATCTATCTATCTAACTATATCTACCACTTAAATTATTAGTATTTGTCAACTACTAGCTTAAACGCTGACGCCTTAGTATACATTTACGCAGAGAAAAAATACACATACAACTAGTAAAACGTTAGATTACTACTACAACTACATTTATGGCCCAATTTCAACCTATTTCACTTAGTCAATCAGTACAACTACCATCACAACAATCGGTACAACAACAACAACAGCAGGTTCTTCAACAAAATCCATGTCAATATCAACTTGAATCGTGTGATATTAAACCACAATTCTCAATCATTCCATCAGTTTCACAAACTTTAACTAACAACAGTAATATGAATAATATAACACAAGGTGGGATTGGTAATGTTGGCGCATTGATGACTACATTAGACAATGTAGTCAGTGGAATGAACAATGTCAATTCAGGACAATTTTCTACATCAATGAGTCATGCAGATGTTGCTTCATTATTAATGAATCCAAGTAAACGAGCAGAAACATTTGTAATTGATGAAATCAAAGTAATGTTAAAAGAGATTGAAGCAAGAAAACATATTCTTTTATCACTTTCTCCGTCAACAAATCGTTTAAAACGTCGTGCATGGGAAGAAGTTGCTGTTTGTATGGCTAATCGTTGGCCACATGCTCCAAGAAGATCAGCTGATCAAGTAAGTCCATCCAATGATATTTGTATAATTGTTGAATTGTTCATTGTGCATGTATTATTCTAACTTTCACAATAGGAAATCTTTAATATTCTAATTGTTTCACTGCAGTTAGATAACTAGTTTTCAAAGTTATCCTGTCGATTGTGAACAACGTTTGACGTGGGGCAAGTTGCTGCTGTTTTTCAAATCACCAAAGCTAGTAGGAATAGGCAGGACTAGAAGTTTATAAGCTTAGAATAATTCTAGAGACTACCTAGCTCATTCTTATTGAAATCAATGTGCAGATTTGCACTCTATATTAAAGTATAATCAAAATTTTAATCATTACTAATTAAGAAATGCACCCTAATACCTTGTTATGACGAAAAGTATAAAGAGTCCGTTCTCTCTCGTGAAATCCTCGCATATGGGATGCATGTATCATCACTACCAGGAAATCCCTACTGACTGCCTTCTCGTGGCACAGGTGTTGTTTACCAAATTAAGAGAACGAGAAGCGAGTGCCCGATGCTTTCACTGGGTCTATAGTTACGGGGAATCCACCTAGGGAAGTTGGCAAACCCTCATTACCTATACAATGGCGCACATGGGTTCCAAAAGCCTGATAGAACAAATGGCGTATCAACCCATTGTTGGTCATCGGATACTATGATAGTGTATTCCCTAACGTTGTCCCACTGCCCTGTGAATTATACCTGTAGATCAATTGTTCGAGGAGTGACAGCTTCAGTTTGAAAAACCGTGCCCGCACATAAATTTAAGAATTTGTTTGACGCATGTATATCTTGATGCCTGTTTTGTGTCATCGTTTATTTGCCTGAAGAAATAAATACTACTATAATTATTTTTGTATACTGAGATGTTCACTCCATGAAGTCACTGACAAGTGGACTGAGTCATGTTGGTAGATGTAGGCTACCTGGTTGGGGTCCGCGAGACGAAAGTTAGAGACCTTGAATGACATGACTCAAAATGGTTTGCAATTGCGCACGTGCATCCACTCTTTGAGTTCTCTCAAATTCTAACCTTTTGATTTCCTCACAATCTCCATCTTTCTTTTTCTGAATTTATCTCACTGAACTATACTTCTCAAATCATATCGTCGCTCCCTAATTTTTTGTATTACTGCGAATACTTCTACTATCTCCATCGCTATTGGATTTGAACTGACAGTTGAGTTTCTGTGCTGATGTGTTATGGCAACCTGAACTTATGTATTCATGTACGAAGTTCTACGTTGTACTGACTGACTGACTGACTGTTTACTCCATTCCATATTATTACACGTCAATGATCTGCAGTTTGAAATCGATTTAAACTAAAATTAAGAAACATTGTTGAACGTCTGTCTATTTAACATGAAAAGCCTTTCACAATATTCATTCATTGAGATAGATGCATAATCTCTTATTGTTAGTTGAGTGTTGAGTGTGTTCATTCAATTGTGAAGATGTGTTATTACTAGCACAAATGTCATGGAAATCGATATTTTTTTTTAATTTGAAAATTGTTAATTGACAGTAGACTATTTTTATTCAGAGTAATGTATACCGTTTAGAATATGTACTATATATATATATATATATATATATATATATATATGTATATATATATATATATATATATATGTATATATATATATATATATATATATATATATATATATTTAAGAAATATACAAATAAGCAACGTTTACATATATTCTGTAATTAATCGGACTTTATAATATTCCTTACTTTATTTATTGTTAGACATATATTCGAACCCTAATCCTCTCCATTACCAGTAATACTTCTACTATCTCTACCTACCACTATTGGATTTGAAGTGACAGTTGCCTCCTTGTGCTAATGCGGAATGGCAATGTGAACTTATGTATTCATGTACGAAGTTCTACGTCGTACTGACTGACTGACTATTTATTGTCGGTTGATTTACATTTTGTGAATACTATTTAGCTGCCATTATGATTCACCATTCATATACAAGTACGATTGTATGAATGAATAGTTACTTACACTGATGTGCATTGTGTTGGTGTTTCCACTTTTATTGAAGAATACACATCTAGGTGAATTTCTTTCATTATCTTGTTGTACTAATGTGAAGTATTACAATTCGGAATGAATAAAACACGTCCGTATAAACTAATTATATTTATCATTGATTGATTTTACAAAAGATCAGTCTATTGTGCAACAGTTCGCTCAGACCTACTATATGTGTATGAAACATGGACATTAAAAACAGAGGATATTCTCAAGTCATTAGTATTGGGTCATCAGTATCTTCGAAGCATTGCTCGTTTATCCTAGGATAACCAAGTTATCAATGCTTGGGTTAGGAAAAGAGTATTAGGTAAAGATGACAGATCAATGGATGAAGTAATGAATTTTCACCAGTTGAGTTGGTTGTGACATGTGTTACGTATGCCCAACCATCGATTGCTTCGACGAGTTATGTTTTGTGGTGTAGGAATAGATTAGAAGAAAGTTAGGATCGACCTAACCCAAATATGACACAAGTGAACTAACTGAGCCATTTTGGTATGTGTAAACTACCTGGTTAGGGTCCACGAGATGATTAGTCATCGATGGTTAGAGAGACTTTGAAGGATATGGCTAAAAATCGTTTGCAATAACTCAGATACATGCATTCTTTGTGTTCTCTTACATGTCTAATCGGAATTCCTCATGAAATTTTATTTCACTGAATTATACTTGTTGAATAATATCTCCTAAACCTAATCTTCTCAACTAACGCTAACACTTCTACATTGTACATCTACTACACTATGGAATTTGAATTGACAATTCAATCTTTGTGTGCTGACCTGTAACTAAGTCAGTCAGTCAGTTGCAACGTAGAACTTCGTACGTATGTACATCAATTAATGTTGCCATACCACATTAGCACAGAGACACAAATGTCAAATCAAATCCAATAGTGATAAAGATAGTAGAGGTTTTAATGGTAATGAAGAAGACTAGAGTTTGAAGATATTATTCAGGAAGTATAATTCAGTGAGATAAGGTTAGAAAGACAAATGTAGAGGTGCTGACGAATCCAGAAGATTAGGATTTGAGAGAGCTCAAAGAATGGATGCACTTGCGCCATTGCAAACGATTCTGAACCATGTCATTGAAGGTCTCTAACCATCGGTGATTTTCGTCTGGCGTACACCAATCAGGTAGTCTACATCTGCCAATATGACTCAGTTCACTTGTCAGTGACTTCATGGATTTGTCCCATGTTTTGGTCTGGCCGCCCCTAGATTTCTTCCAACCTACTCCTACACCACAAAACATAGCTCGTCCAGGCAGTATGTCCCAACCACCTCAACTGATGAAGTTTCACCACTTCATCCATTGATCTGCCATCCTTACCTATCACCCGTCTCCTAACGACAGCATTGCTGTAACGTGTAACTAAATGATCAGTTGAACATCTATCATTTTTATCTTTCTTTTTTGTACTTTTTCCCCTGTTTAGGTAAAGAAAAAATGGGAGAATTTAGTATCAAAAACAAAACGTAAAGTACGCGCTGGTCATATTACACCAGATTTAGACTGGAATGAAACTAATGCAGCTGTTATGCAATTTCTTACACAACATAGTCCACCAGTACGTTTACGTTATTTAACATCGACATCGCCCTCATTGATGAATTTCAATAATTTACAAACTTCTTCCACGTCGTCTTCATCAGCACCATCCATCTTGTCTAACACGTCAGCAGCAGCTGCTGCCGCCGCGGCCGCTGCTGCTGCGGCAGCATCAGTTTCTTCGTCCTTGATCAATAATCATTGTACAAATGGTTTGATGCCGATGAATTCCACAAATTATGGATTATTGAATGGTAGTAGTTTCTTAGATTCATATAACCATACTAATACTACTAACAACAATAATAATAGTAGTAATAATAGTATGAATGCACCAATTTTTCCCGGTAATCAATCATCCTCTTTAATGTTATCCAGTTCGAAATCGAATTTTGTAAATTCCAATATGAATCAAGATAATAACACGAATAACAGTAATAGTAATAATAATAACAGTAGTAATAATAATAATAATGCCAGTCAATTATCATCATTTGGAAATCATGAAACTAGTCAGTTGAACTCGTCCACCGAAGAAACTGATATCGATATGACTAATGCAAACAATGTTCAAAATACTACTATTGGAGGGTAAGTAAAATGAATTGTTCTATTGTGTTTGTTTCTGTCAATTTCTCTCTCCCTCTCTCTCTGTATGTCGATGATATGTATAAATGTACTTTTTCTGGTGGCTTGACTATGTGATTTTGATATTTTCTATTAGTTAGTTAAACAGTAGTTAGTGTGTAAATTGTCATTTTAGACTGTAGTGTTTAGGCTTAGAACTTACTTACTTACTTACTTACGCCTGTTGCCCCCAATGGAGGAGCATAGGCCGCCCACCAGTTTTCTCTAACCAACTCTGTCCCGGGGCTTCTCTCTCCAGTTCTGTCCAATTTTTGTTCATTCTTCTCATATCTTTCTCTATTTCTCGGTGTAATGTGTTCCTTGGCCTTCCTCTTTTCATTTTGCCTTGAGGGTTCCATGTAAGGGTTTGTCTCGTACATGTAACCCTTACATGCAACCCTCAAGGCAAAATGAAAAGAGGAAGGCCCAGGAACACATTACGCCGAGAAATAGAGAAAGATATGAGAGGAATGAGTAAACATTGGACAGAACTGGAGAGGGAAGCGTGGGCGGCCTATGCTCCATTGGCTTAGAAGTATGTTATGTATCGGACAAGTAAGGGAGTATGTTCAATAGTGCGTGCGTGTGAGAATCTTGACAAGGGAACAAGAGAAAAGTGAGCGCATATGATGTACTTACTTACTTACTTTCGCTTGTTACCCTTAATGGAACATAGGTCGCTGACTAGCATTCTCTAACCTACTCTATCCTGGGCTTTTGATTCCAGTTATACATTAATTACTGTTTATCCTGTTTATGTCTGTCTTCGGTTCTCGGAGTAGTATGTTCCTTGGCCTTTCTCTTTTCCTTTGGCCTTGAGGATTTAATGTGAGGACTTGTTTTGTGACGCACTTTGATGCTTTCCTCAATATGTGTCTTATGCAGTTCTAGCTATTTTTCCTAATTTCCCCGTCCGCTGAAATCGTGTTTGTTCAATTCGGCGTCTCACGTGCTGTTACGGGTATGAGAGCGGATGTCACTTCCCGGCTGCCCACACCTTCGAAGGGTTTTTCTTGAGGAACCTCAAAAGGAAGGTAGATTAGTGTTGGTCTTAGAGACATGGGAGCGTGACCGCAGGGTTCAAAGGACAGCTGCTCGAGGCCAGTCACGCAAGGCCTTTTGATGAGAAGGTTTTGAAGTATTAGCTCAGCTCTTTTAAAAGACCTTACCCCCGGAGACGGAAATCCGTGAGGTAAGGTGAGGTGTAACAATTTCAGGGTCGACCTTTTCTAACCCTTCCTTCCTTGTGAGAAGGCAGCATCGCTGCAGATGCTGGTTGTCCGAGGGAAACACATTACTGCTGTTACACCCCTCCACAGTTAGTCAGCAGTACGACTTCGCCCTCAGACCTTGAGTAGCTGCTTTTAGTTTCATCGTTCCCCAATTGACCTGCTTGACATGGTAGTACCCACAGCAGCATATGTTCAAGCCAATATAGCTCGATCGGGTCATCACGATAAGCAAGCCCGACTACCACATCAAGGTAGCAGCTTCGGTTGGGTTATAGGTTGGATGCACTACAACGACAACTCAATTTAATTAAAATGTAACATATAACAAGCTTCGCATTATGCTAATGGGTCACAAATGTACAAGTTTAACTGTGAATGATCATATTGTAACTGACCTTCATTGGTCATTGTGACATAACACACATATCAATGAAGGTTGAGTTCACAGTATATTATTCAATGTTATTGGCATAGGTAAACTGAATATATGTACAAAATGATAATTAATCACAGTGGATTGATTTCAATTTCATATAATTTGGAAATGAGGCACAAATGATATGCTCGTCGATTGATATACTTGAATGCTATTAAGAGTTCACTTTACTCTCGGTAAACGGGACGAAAGTAATGACTCAATGACACGATAGGCTATTCCAATCCGTTTGTCCTTGGTCCGGCTAACTATAGCAAAAAGTCTTAAAAAGGCTTAGAAAGGTATATTCTACGAGCTACCAGAAAATACGAGGTTGTCAAACACACGAATCGAGCTTATTGACACATGATAGAAACGTCCTTCGGAGAGCCACAAAAATAGCGTACTAAAATAACACACCAATTAATGACAGTCAAGGATTTCCTGAGTGGGAGATGTAAGCTGAAAGTCAGCTAAACAACTTATGCGCGAAAACATAAAAAAATCCAAAATTAGGACCTTTTCCAATTGAGTTCTGGAGATCTAATGTCCCTAACAACAACAGCTCACTTTCAAACAATTGAAACGAAAATGTATCCACAAAATTTTCTCAAATTACTGTAGATTTTTTTCGCTTAGTGAAACATTCTCAACAATATATTACTTAGTGTCAACCAAACAGAATTTTGAACGCTGTTTCGTGTTAATTACAGTGCAAAAAGAAGTACTTCACTATTGACTGACATTTATTTGTCAATAAAATTTGGTAATACTTAGTTATTATGTTTGAGTGACAGAATCTACTTTGTTTCTAATAAATAGAAGGTTTCTACTTAATCAGAAACATACTTTAATGTTTAACGATGAGTATTTATGAGTAAAAATAAGATTTATATGAGCTTGAATTTTAAATCATAACTTTCAATCGAAAACCAATCTTCAAATCATAATCTTCATTAGTTTCAATGACGAAAATAACACTAACTTATCTATATGTTCAGTAGCCAACATAATGGTTTTTAAATAAGCATCATGACCCTGAAGAACTTTGATCGTTTCTGATTGGCTCTTACTTATTCTTATGGTTTACTAATGAAGGGTTAGAATCCTATTTAGAATATAGGTTTATTTAATGTGACAATTGTATGTGAACTATGCAAGAATATGATTTATGGAACAGTTATACATACTAACCTGCCATCCTAACCTAGCACCTATTTTGTAACAACAGTAAGCAATGCTGTTATTAGGAAAAGGGTGCTAGGTAAGAATGGCAGGTCAGTAGATGAAGCATTGAAACTTCATCAGTTGAGGTGGTTGGGACATGTGTTACGAATGCCGACTGCCTGGACGAGGTGTGTTTTGTGGTGTAGGAGTAGTAGGTTGGAAGAAAGTTAGGGGTGGCCAGACCAAAACATGGCACAAATCCACGAAATCACTGATAAGTGGACTGAGCCATGTTGGTAGATGTAGACTACCTGGTCGGGGTCCGCGAGATGATAGTCACCGATGGTTAGAGACCTTGAATGACATGGCTCAAAATCGTTTGCAATGGCGCAGGTGTATCCACTCTTTAAGTTCTCTCAAATCCTAACCCTGGTATACGTATTCCTCGGCCCCGATTGTCATACTTAGATCGGTCCAATGCATTGAAATTGATAAGATGATTAAAGTAGGTGGTTAGAGGTGGTAGTTAGGAGTGAACTATATAAACGTGGCAAGGTATACTTTTAATCATATGATTACTGATGTTCCTTGTGAGATTCGAATTCGAGTCATTCAGTTTCACAGACTAAGATTACACTGCTGTACTATTCAGTCAATGGATTCTTGCTAACTACTTTCAAACAATATCGAGTCATTTTTTTTCAATTTACCACACATGATTTGATCAGTACTAAAAATAAATTTACATTGATCGCTACACTGTGATCAGTCAGTTGTAAGATGAATAGTTAAATTAAAAATTGTATCAATCAAAGTTCGGAAACAAATGAGCAAATCAAGGAATAAAAAAGAATGAAATAATTTTGAAGGTGACTAAAGATGAATTCATTTGTGTGAAAGGGTTGTGTAGAATGTTGAGTTACTTTTTACTAATCACGAATCAATCAATGTTAGACCATTATTAGAAACCTGGAAGCACTGGATGGTCGTTTTGTTCTGGTATGCAACTCATCATCTGTGCGCATTTACGACTTCACTATTCACGGGATTAGAACCCAGGAACGTTGGTCTTGTGCACGAACGCCTAATCTCCGGACCAATGGAGTTCAACCTTGTCTGGGTATGAAGTAGGCCTCACCGAGGACAGTGGATGAGATTTCGCAAGACTGTTAAACGTTGACACCATTAAATGTCGGCTCAGTGATCCAGAGGTTAAGCGTTCGCATGCAAGACCTTAAGGTCCTGGGTCCGAATCCCATGAGTGGCGGGAGTCGCGGATGCACAAGGCTGATGATTCCAATACCAGGCCTTCTAGTACTTCCAGGTTTCTAATAATGGCTTAGCACTGATCGATTCATGAATTCAAAAAGATTTCATTTGTGTCACTGTGATTGATTCTAAGCTATGATGCTTGAGTATCTCCAATCACTTTTTGATCATGATTATCATAATGACCCTTAACCATTGATTGTGTTTTAATTGGTTTGTTCGTTTGTTTGCTTACTTTTATGTCACACACACACACGCATACAGTGTTTCCGATGTTGGCAATATTACTGGTTCAGTGCATGAATCATTTCTCTCGTCATTTTCACCATTCAATCAATCTTTCATGAATTTTGGTTTACCATCAACAACAACTGATTCATTCTATACAACATTTAGTCGTGATATACAAAAAGAGCTGTATTTACAATTAAAACAAGAACATGAATTACGTATGGATATATTACGTTTACAAAAACAAACATGGTTATTACAAATGAATTTATTTAAAAAAATGAAAATTGAACAAATTTCAAGTTTATTTTCATCGCCTAGTTTAATGACACCAAATACAACCAATACTACTAGTAGTACTACTACTACTAATGTTAATTCAACGTCTATATCATCTGCTGCTGCAGCTAGCATGACAACGGCAACAACTGCTACTACCACTACTACTAATCCTGTTATCAGTAGTAGTAGCATAAATGGTACGTGTACTACTAATTCAATACCATTGAACACAACAACTATAACTGATGAAACAATGAGTACTACTTCCATGATACCTACACAATCAACAACCAACTCTGTATCTTCCTATTCCACACAGAATAATAAAGAAATGGAATCACAATGTCTCATCAGTAGTACATCAAAACATTCCTCCTCTTTATCACCAATGTTCCCACAAGATGGCGGCAGTGGAGGCGGCGTCGGCGGTGTTGATGATCAACGAGATCATCATCATCATCATCAACAACAACAGGATAATGATAATGAATTGTTGAATAAAAAATGTAAATCAGACAATGAAATGATAACAAAACAAGAAATCTAACTCCATATTGAACATTGTACATTTGTGTTTTAATTTGTGTATTGAATTTTCATTTTATTGACAAAAATAATTGTTTGAATTATATTATTCTTTTGGTATTTGTGTATTTTATTTGAAACCATGAATCGATCAATGTTAGACCACCATTAGAAACCTGGAAGCACTGGACGGACGTTTCGTCCTGGTATGGGACTCATCAGTGGCAGTGCGCATTCACGACTCCTGCACCCGGTAGGATTCGAACCCAGGACCTTTGGTATTAAAGGCGAACGCCTAACCATCGGACCACTGAGCCAGTATCTAACGGTGTTAATGTCTAGCTTGATCGATTCACGGAGTTGCGCAACCTCATACACAGTCTTCGGTAGATACTGTCTACGCCTGAACAGGTTGAACTTCACTGGTCACATCTTCCCACTAGAACTCGGAGAAGATTCCTCACGAAGCTAGTCACTAGTGAGGACAGGTAATTTGCATTACGGGGTTGTTGTGAAGATTGTTAAGTTTTATCTGAAACCATGAATTTGTTAAATGCTTACTTACTTACTTACTTACTTTTGCTTCTGGTTAGCGTTTCTTTAGAGAGTTAGTTTTTTTATGGGATGAGGCCGCCAACCCCATGCCCAACCCTCCTCATTTATCCGGGCTTGGGACCGCTGGTAGCCCCAGAGGGGATCCAGGCGGAGTTATTTGTTAAATGCTACTCAAACTAGTTAGTGTGCTTTAAAAGAAGAACTTATTTTGTTTTCAGTCCCATTTTTTTTGGATTGACAAATATATTTCACATAGAGATAGGCATTGAAATGTCATGATAGACTTGGTCCATTTTATTTTAATATACTGATATAGCTACGCCTGTTACCCCTAATGGATCATTGGCTGACGACCGGCGAATTATTTTTGTGGTTAGTGTTTTGTTAGCGAGTTGGATTTCTACGGGATGGAATCGCTAACCCCATGCCCAACCCTGTTCATTTATCTGGGCTTTAGACTGGCAGTAACTATAGAAAGGCTTCAGGCGGAGTTTTATTATGGCATTGACGATGTTTATTCTGTAATCCCATTATTCTTTTAGTTTGTTTCATTTGATGTTGGAAGGTCGCTGACTGAAATTAATGTATGTGAAGTAACAACTTGAAAAAACACAAAATACTACCATAGACTGTTTGAGAACAATGTTAACTATTCAAATTAACTGACAAATCATTGTGAGAATAGTTACATTTTGGAGATTTGAAATGTTTAATCTATCTAGTAGCTTTAAAGTGTATGTCTGTGGAATGTTATCTACTTGTCGGTCAGTCAGAAACAACATAGAACTTCGTACATGTACATACGTAAGTCCAGGTTGCCATACCACATTATTACAGAGACGCAAATGTTAGTTCAAATACCATAGTGGTAGAGATAACAATAGTATTAGCTGTAATGGAGAAGAATAAGGTTCGAAGATATGATTCGAGAAGTTTAATTTAGTGTGATAATTTTAGAAAGAGAATGACAGAGGTAATGAGAAATTCAGGTTAGAATTTGAGAGAACACAAAGAATGAATGCACCTGCGTCATTGCAAACGATTTTGAGCCATGTTGTTCAAGGTCTCTAACCATCGGTGACTTTCATCTTGCGGACTCCAACCAGGTAGCCTACATCTACCAACATGACTCAGTCCACTTATCAATGATTTCATGGAATTGTGTCATGTTTTCGTTTGGCCGCCCCTAGCTCTCTTCCAACCTACTTCTACACCATAAAACACATAGCTCGTCGAGGTGGTCGGTCGTTATGCATAAGTAGCGCATGTTCTAACCACTTCAACAGATGAAGTTTGAATACTTCATCTATTGATTTGCTATCCTTACCTAGTAATCGTTTCCTTAATAGGACATTTCTAACTTGGTTGTCTCCGGATACACGTGCAATGCTCCGAAGATATCTATAATCGAATAATAATAGCCTACGAATGTCCTCTACTCTTGCTGGCCATGTTTCACACCCCTGTATTAGGACGGATCGAACAGCTGCACAGTACACATCGGAAGCGTAAATTGAGTTGCTTAAGGATTCAACTACCATTATGTCAGTGAAATACTTTAAATTAATTATAGGCACCTATTTTCTATCAGCAAGGTAACTTATTTGCTTATTCCTGTTACACCTAATGAAGTATAGACCGCTGGCCAGTGAATTATATTTTTATGGTTAATGTTTTCTCAACAAGTTGAATTTCTACGGCATGGGGTCACTAACCACATGCCAAACCCTCATCCTTTATCCGAGCTTGGGACCAGCAGTAACCCTAGAAGGAGGTCTACAGGTGGTAGTAAAATGAAGAAAAATTTTTACCGTCCGTTAATAACAATGCAGAAAAACTCGGCAACTTGCAGTTTAAAATAATATAATTCATAATTAGATAAAACTGTTTTTTTGTACAGCTAATGAATAAATTGATATGCGAAGTAAGAATTAAGCTTGATAGTCAGGTCTTGATTCACTCAGTAATTCATGAGCTGAAAACTAAACATCTTCCTACCTATTTGATAAGTATACTATCTCATTAAATGAAAATTTATTCATCTTGTTAAAGGTACTATCTCTGATGACGATTCATTCAAAAGATTAACATTTAACATTCTATTGACGCATAACAATCAAGTACAATCTGTGGTATATGATTCATCAAAAATACAACCTATCATAATACAACGTCACACCTAAAACTTACAATTAGTATTATTATTGCCTTTTTTCGTCATTTTATGTCTACTACTACTACTACTTATCCCATATATTGCAAAGGGCATACACATGCTTGAATGAATAGACTATTGATCTATGATTCATTTATCGATCACAATCAGTTCGCTTTGTAAGGGGATATTGATTTGTACTTTTCAAAGATGTGAGTGATGATAGCTGAAGGTGCGAGTATGGATATAAATGTATTTAAACGATAAATATTTTACACGTTAAAATGGTCAGTCAATCAATCAATCAATCATTGTTAGACTATTATCATTAGAAACTTGGAAGCACTTGGGCGGTCTAACAATGATTGATTGATGATTACAATGTGTAGAAACAGTGATCTTCATAATTCTAATTGGAAAAAAATAAAAATATTGACAAGTCTTAATTTTTACTCTATAAGGGATAAATCTGATCGGTGGACTTGTTCGGTGTGTTTTACTTTTGTCACCACTGTTGCAAAATCATTGAATATTATTATGTTTTAATAGTATTAATGTCTGCTGTGTGACAAGTACTTCAGCGGTAAATACTAAATGTGGTCTGATCTATAACCACTTTGACTTGATAGAACAGAATACTCAACGCACAAGTGTTTGTGATCAGTGTTAGTTATTTTCATAACTAATTGTAGTTATATCATAACTAACCAATCAAATTATGGTTTAGGCGACTATCCATCACATGATCTGATCTGACATGTCTGTAAACTTTCTTTGTTGTAAATGACCTACAAATTGAAGGACATTATTATCTTATTATTATTGATATGACTCATAGTTTTATTCATTTCCAAAGACACGCTATATTGGTCGGTATGTTTACTGGTTTCACTTGATAACTGTAATTTCCTTAATTATTGTACTAATCTAATTGTTTTTATGTAACGCAGTTGGACTTTGTAGATAGAGTGTGAGTAATTGTTGGCATCGATCTTTCAGATAAAATTGGCGAAACATAGTGTCCATTCTAAAGACTTGAGAAAAACCTGTAGAGGGTCAGCGTACTTGTTTATTGTAACTGATGATTCTATTAAGATTATTGATGACAAAGCTAAATAACTCCGTATTCTCGGGTTTTACAATAAGTAAATAGTCAATTTGATAGGTTTCGTCAAATGAAATTCCAGTATGTACTGTACCAAGGCATTTTATTTTAAATGTTCTTGGAAGTACGTGACTGATGAATCATTGGACAGTTCTAAAACTTTAGGGGTGTATACCAAGGCAGTAAGCCTAAAAGAAGAGTAGTGAATGCTAATAGAAGAAATCAACCACTGACTTAAGAAACAGAAAAGAATCACTATTGTACTTTCGACTTCGTCGTTACAGATTGTTCAGGGTGAAGTTCGCCTGATATATGTAATATGGAAGTTATTAATTTGGCAATTAACAGTTGAGAAAGGTTTTGTTATACAATAATGTAGGAAGCATTGGGCAAAGGTTCTGAAAAATAAGAGCATGCATAAAAATGTCCTCAAAACGGCAGTTCAAATGTTCTTCTAATTGCAAATGAATTTCCAAACTAATCAGTTCTGTAAGTTCACGACGTTGATGCCCACATCAGTTTTACTTGAAACGGCACAGGTGAAGACGTTTGGTCACACGTTGACACCAGTTCGCTGTTGAGTACGCCGTGCTGAGTAACTCTCGCATCAATTCGCTAACTTAGATCTCTCACTTTCCTTCATCCCGGCTGTTGGGGTTTTTTCAGTGGTTTCTGAATTCAAAAGAACAGTTATAGAAATTTAAATACGCGCCATTCCTAGTATCCCAACAACAAAGCAATTTATTTGGGTAAGAAAGGGTTCTATTATTATTTAAAGGCTACATATGATCACCTAAACAATATTACACTATTCTTTAACACAATGTATTTCCGATTCTGGAAGAATGCTTGCGTATAAGTCAAAAATTGCATCATTCCAGTCCAGATTCAAAGTTCACCGCCCGGGGTGTCGAATTCGATATGGCTGACGCCATAATTAAGCGTCAATTTAAACAACATAATACAGTTCAGTAGGATACATAGAAACTCCAGTAAAGGTACAAAATATAGAAATTATAACAAAATACAAATATTAACACCACAAAATGGGATTAAACAGAGTACCAAAATGTAGCACAATAGTCAGTAAGAATATATAACAAATATGTGCATGGATGGATTTTCCCCAAAAAAAGCCTTCAAAATGGGTTCTACACCGGCTCCCTTTAAGATTTATCTTTGATCGCCTTGATTCCTGACGTCTTGTTTGACAGGACTTGATATTCTCGATCTGAAGCGTGTCATCCCTCAGTCACAAAAGTCATGGAAGCGGTATTGCAAATGTGGAAGCCCTTCGTAGCAATCTTGACAATAAATCCACGATTAGATCCGAGTAGAGGTTACTGACGGGATCGATGACTCAATTTTCCTTCTGGTCGAAACTCTCCAGATGGATATGCCTTCATCTCAGGGTTGAATTTCACTACGAGACTTCGCACGAGATGCACATATGCTGAAGTGACCGATCAGTTGAAGTCCTAAACATCAATGAGAATGTTTGAACAACCATTAAAAACGATTCAGTAAAACGAGGATAGTTCTCGCTCAAGCCAACTCCATATGTTTTCAGCTGAAATTCAACTTGAATAAAATTCAGAAGATAGTGCATTATGTATCGCCATTTTCACTTTTCATAGAGAAATGGCGAGTTACTTCATTCAAATTTATAACGATTCACAACTCAATGCAGACCAGATACTTCTGAAGAGCTCACAATATTTTTAGACACCGACAGGCTAGACCTAGACCATTCTGATTATTCTGGTATGTCCCTTAAAAAGTCGGAACTACCACCCGGACATTTTACCGCTTCCTATAAAATAGTAGTTTCAGGATGTAAAAAGTGGCGATGATGGAGAAAAAGGCAGCTTATTCACGTACACGAGGAATAACACAGGTTTCAAGATCACATCCAGAGTTTTTGCGTTCCTTTATTAATCTTCGGTGTGTTTAATAGGGTCCTATACCTAGTTTATTTAGTAGATCAAAGATGTTGAGTTCTTTGATGGTGAAAATATACACAATTTCGGCCGGAGAATTTGTTTGTATCTAATGGACAAGCATCTCTATAGTATTTGCGTAGCTAGGGTAGTCTGAGTACATTCCTAATCATCTTCTGCTGGTGCATACAGTGACTGTGGTTAGTTTTCAAAACAATTGAATTATGCTCATCTTTCATAATTAAACTTAGCAAATGTTTTCTAGAGTCATTTCGAAACAAGGAAGGTTTGTTTTCCCGAATGTCACACCCATATCAGCCTAAGTATTGCTCAAAAAGGGAGATTATTCAGTGGGGCCGGTTATCTTCCGATAAGATTTGTGAAACTATTGACGTTTATCTAAGCAGACGATGTAAAGATCTACTGAAGAGTGTGCAGTGAAAAAAGGTTTAAAACTAAACCAGTCTAAATGTCACGTTATTTACATTCTGCAGAAGGCCAATGCAACTCTTCAGCTAATGGGAAGACGACTTGCTGCTATTACCCGTGAATTATTCTTAACGTTGTTCAAGACAAACGCTCGCCCACACCTTGAGGTTCACAATGTAGCCGCACCTCTTCTCCTTAAATAAGACATAAATCTCTTGGATCGAGTAAAGAGAAGAGCAAGGAAACGGGTTATAGGGTTGGAGAATGAAACTTACGAAGATAGACTCCAGTACTATGCATTATTCTCTCTAAGCTACAGGAGATTCTGAGGTTATCTGATAATAGCACGCCAATTCATTCCAAAGTGAGCATCTGACAGAAGCATCACCAACAATCCTCTAAAAATTACGCATCGCAGAGCCAATACTCCTGTTCGTGCTCACGTCTTCTTATTAGGAGTTGCTGCAACTTGTAATGCTCTCCCAGCCGCGGTGATCTCAGCCTTCTCGGTGGACAGCTTTAAGAGAAGACTTGATCAACACGTACTCACATACGGATTCTTAACTCACTTGTGGATTAGCGGTGCCTGATGCATGTCTGGAAAATCGCTACTTGCTATTCTAACCATTTACTTAGATCACTAGCTTGTTCTTCCTCGCTTATTATCTCTGTTTTTTCCCTCCCTTACACCGCGGTCCTCTCGCATAATCTTTACTATCAATAAACTAAATTATTCATTTATTCAACTAGTTCTGAAATCTTATCAGGATCACAGTTTTTGCGATGTTACCCTCCATATTGCTACTAACTGATCTTCAGCCTGGTAGCTTCAGGTATCCAGATATCCTACTTTCCTGAAACAAACGTACTCATCCAAATCACTGGACAGAAAAACGCACTAACAACTATCAAATTACTAGAACTGGTGCAATAGAGTGGTTAGACCCTCACCCATTGGACACTAATGAATAGCTGGAACAGTATAGAAGGGACAATTGTCGTACGCAAAGCAATCAACTGGTTAATAATAGCTCGAGAATAAAATATTGGATATTGTACAGTGGGTATGGGCATTCACAGGATTGCATGTCATTATATTTACCGGCTTTTTTTCGTTATTTGAGGATTATAATACAGTAAACAAATGCTTAGAACGAAATTCATTGTCAATACTAGCAATTAGAGTATGCATTAATGGGTTTTTTTTTATAACTTTTTAAGGTTTTCAGATGTCTTAAGACTATTTATAAACCCAAAGAAGGATTTACAGGCTGATATACCCAACCTATTTCACGAACTATAAATACGGAATGCCTGCATTGAATAAAGCCACTCTAGGCCGCGGTAACAAGAGGCTGATTTGACATCGGCCTTGAAGTGTTCACGTGTCGGTACATGTCTGTAAATTATGTGTTTCTCTGGTACGTTTGTTTTATGTATACTCATTGAAAAGGATTTTAACAGGCTCTTACTATTTATGCTACGAGAATTTTAGTGTTTTAAGCAGTCGTAAATCAGTTCAACTTAGTATTGCACGTTTCAATTCTCATGGTTCAAAGATTTTAGATGGTCTTTAAGTTTACGCTTGACGGGCTTCTGTTTCTAGTAAAAATGGATTGTTGATGACTTCAGTAAGGAATCAAGACATATTTGACAAACGAAAGAAAAGAAATTAGTAAATCATAATAAAGTGCGATACTGAGTTCTAAAATTCACAAGTTTCCTTTCGAAGGATTCCGACGAGGTTTCTTGGACCACCTTACCTGCACCAAGTTCTGAAATTTCACTACTCGTAAATCATAGGTTTGCTTTAAGTCCACTCTTCTATAGTGATCCACTTTTATGAAGTGAACGCGATGTTATTGTGCCTCTAATGCCTGTGTATTGACACTGGTGCGATTGAGACTAAGAAGTTACTTTAGAGAATATCTGGCAGTCGTAAAAGTGATTACTAAGAAGCTCTCTCTTGTACGCATTTACTCTCAAAGGTAAATATCTTGTGATCTTAAGCGCTCTTCATAAGATTTGACTATAAATCTGCTAACCGATTTCGTGACTCGCCTTTGGATACGTTCCAATTTATTCTTCTCGTTTTGAAGTGAGAAATGGAAAAAATTACTTCCGTAGTGGGGAGGGGACTGAATAAAACTCAAAAATTAGGTGAAACGTACAATCAAGCTGGTCAAAGTTATCAGTAGAACGTTTGCTACAAATTTATTTAGTTACAATCAGCATGTGACTTTAGATCCTAATTACTTGTAAACATTTGGACCATTTTTAATGAACATGTATTTAGAAAGGAAAGCTCATCTGATGTATTCGGTTTATAACATGTTTCGGTCAGACTACTTTACACTATGAAGAGTTTCAAGTAAGTTCATTGTCATTCTCCAAACTTTGTAGTCAAGCCAAATCATCCTAAATTTTTGTTTGTCATCTTAGCTGCAAACTTGTTTTCCTAGTTTGACATCCTCAGTGACAAGTAATGATTCAGTCGATACTTGTTGGGGGAAGTCATTTCTATTTATTATAAACGGAAGAGGTCCCGGTACTGAATCTGAAAAACCGCACTAGAGCATTCTTTAGCCTGAAAAAATTAGTTAGCTTTGGCCTTAACCGATTATTTAGATATTAATTGAAATAGTCTACCGATGCGACATATATGATTTATCCTACCTAAACTTTTGAGAAGTTACCAATCTTGCGTTTACGATCTAAAATAGTTGTTTATTATAGTTAGCAGGTTGGTTATACAGAAGTGCTCCTTCCTGAAACCGGGTTGATGGGAAGGTGGACGGGTGTACTGCGCAGCAGTTCGCTCCGTCCTCTTATATGGATGAAATACATGGCCGGTAAGAGTAGAAGATGTTCGTAGGTTACTAGTATTCGATCATAGATATCTTAGAAGCATTACTCGTATATCCTGGGACAGCCGAGTAAGCAATGCTGTTGTTAGGAAACAAGTACTAGGTGAGGATGGCAGATCAATAGATGAAGTAGTGAAACTTCATTAGTTGAGGTGGTTGGGAAATGTGTTACGAATGCCTAACCACCGACTGCCTCGACGAGCTATGTTTTGTGGTGTAGGAATAGGTTGGAAGAAAGCTAGGAGCGGCCAGACCAAAACATGGCAGAAATCCAAGAAGTCATTGACAAGTGGACTGAGTCATTTTGGTAGGTAGAGAGACGATACTAACCGATAATTATATATTATATGGCTCAAAATCGTTTGCAATCGCGGAAGTGCATCCATTCGTTGTGCTCTCTCAAATCCTAATCTTCCGGATTCGTCAGTACCTCTACCTTTGTCCTCCTAACCTTATCTCACTGAATTCTACTTCTTGAATAATATCTTCAAACCCTAGTCTTCGTCATTACCATTAATACCTCTACTATCTCTATCACTATGGGATTTAATTTAACATTCGCGTCTCTGTGCTAATGTGGTATGGCAACCTGAACTGATGTACATACGTACGAAGTTCTACGTTGCAACTGACTTTTGCTGGGAAGATAATCTACAATAAGTAGTCTCATAGACCGTCATATGTTGAAGACTGCATAATTTTTAAAGGTAATAAAAGAAATGTTACTGGTCAGTGGCTTGAAGCTTCATCGCATCGGTTTCTTTTGAAAACTGGCATTATGTGGGTCAGCTTTAATTTGTTTGGGACCACGCCTTCACTTAGCAAATGCAAGAAGATTACGCAGCGGTTTTATTTAATATATCTCAGAATATTGCAGAAAAAACCGTATCCATGCGATAAGTGTCCTTGTTTGGATGAAATAGATTTCGACAAACTAAACCAATAACTAAATTCACTTCTGAGATCCCTCCTAGGTTTCAGAAGAAGCTCTCGTTAATGTACGTCATTTGTGTCGGTTCAAATGTTTCAAGATTCTGTTGTGCCAGGTAATCTGCGGCATCGCCATTGTTGGTTAAGCCATAAGGAACTAACAGCTGGGAGTCTGGCAATGGCTTCTCGAAGAGAAGCTATATAACAAAATAAGCATTTCGGACTAAGGACAAATTTATCGATTAGCTTAGTTTGATACTGAATGTTGTCTAATTTAAATGCGTTTACATATTGGTTTCTTGTTAGTTTAAACAGTCTGTATGTATTGTCATCACTAGTTCGTTCACATCCATATCAGTAGTACCCTTTGAGTTCTAGCATTCTAAAGGTACACTTACATATGACTGAGTTGCTTTTAATTTTTTGATGACCGTTCGTGAGACACAATAGTTCGTAGCATGTAAGATTCTGTTCAATAAGAAATCTCAGTGAGCGTCCTCATCAAGTTAAAGGTGGGCTTTCCAGTCCATTTGCTGCAGATTATTCTCTAAAGGCAATGCATCCGATCGTTCGAAGTCCCAATACCTGTTGTACGTAAAATATTTTAGCTCAGTTTTGGTAATAAAGCAGGTTACTAACGGTGTGATGGCTTTTTTTGCAAGGAGCCAGGATTGAGAGGTCAATAAAAGGAGTTCTTCATTTGTGAAGATGCAGTTCCAAAGGGATGGTGTCTGAATGTTTCTCCGTCGAGTTGCTAACTTCAGATTTTTAAGTAATCCCGATTTGTCAATGAGGTTCAATAACCGAGCTTCAGTAGAGTTATTACCGCCGCAAATCTGTCAGGAACAGTACAGCAACGAATAAGCAAACAGTGATGCTCAGTTTGGGAAAAAAGAGGTCTTCGATAAAATCAATAATAACAGGACAAACATCAACACTAGTGAGGATAAGCTAAAACTCAGCACCGTTATAACATCCTGATGATTCCTTAGTTATCGTGAGTCTAAAAGACTATTGACCCTCAGTTTACTGGGCAAAAATGACAGGATTCTTTGGAAAGGGTTGAGCAGGAAACTAAAAATTCCCGAAATTTAATCACTAACGGTCACACAGCTTACCCTGGGGAAGGAGTCTTCACTTATCTGGGGAGTCCCATCAGTGCCGATGGCCTGGTGACTGACGAAATCTCAGCGCGGATACAGAAGGCCCGATTGGCTTTTGCCAACCTGCGTCACTTATGGCGTAGGCGTGATATCCGTTCTCTAATCAAAGGACGAGTGTACTGCGCAGCAGTTCGCTCCGTCCTCTTTTATGGATGAAATACATGGCCGGTAAGAGTAGAAGATGTTCGTAGGTTACTAGTATTCGATCATAGATATCTTAGAAGCATTACTCGTATATCCTGGGACAGCCGAGTAAGCAATGCTGTTGTTAGGAAACAAGTACTAGGTGAGGATGGCAGATCAATAGATGAAGTAGTGAAACTTCATTAGTTGAGGTGGTTGGGAAATGTGTTACGAATGCCTAACCACCGACTGCCTCGACGAGCTATGTTTTGTGGTGTAGGAATAGGTTGGAAGAAAGCTAGGAGCGGCCAGACCAAAACATGGCAGAAATCCAAGAAGTCATTGACAAGTGGACTGAGTCATTTTGGTAGGTAGAGAGACGATACTAACCGATAATTATATATTATATGGCTCAAAATCGTTTGCAATCGCGGAAGTGCATCCATTCGTTGTGCTCTCTCAAATCCTAATCTTCCGGATTCGTCAGTACCTCTACCTTTGTCCTCCTAACCTTATCTCACTGAATTCTACTTCTTGAATAATATCTTCAAACCCTAGTCTTCGTCATTACCATTAATACCTCTACTATCTCTATCACTATGGGATTTAATTTAACATTCGCGTCTCTGTGCTAATGTGGTATGGCAACCTGAACTGATGTACATACGTACGAAGTTCTACGTTGCAACTGACTTTTGCTGGGAAGATAATCTACAATAAGTAGTCTCATAGACCGTCATATGTTGAAGACTGCATAATTTTTAAAGGTAATAAAAGAAATGTTACTGGTCAGTGGCTTGAAGCTTCATCGCATCGGTTTCTTTTGAAAACTGGCATTATGTGGGTCAGCTTTAATTTGTTTGGGACCACGCCTTCACTTAGCAAATGCAAGAAGATTACGCAGCGGTTTTATTTAATATATCTCAGAATATTGCAGAAAAAACCGTATCCATGCGATAAGTGTCCTTGTTTGGATGAAATAGATTTCGACAAACTAAACCAATAACTAAATTCACTTCTGAGATCCCTCCTAGGTTTCAGAAGAAGCTCTCGTTAATGTACGTCATTTGTGTCGGTTCAAATGTTTCAAGATTCTGTTGTGCCAGGTAATCTGCGGCATCGCCATTGTTGGTTAAGCCATAAGGAACTAACAGCTGGGAGTCTGGCAATGGCTTCTCGAAGAGAAGCTATATAACAAAATAAGCATTTCGGACTAAGGACAAATTTATCGATTAGCTTAGTTTGATACTGAATGTTGTCTAATTTAAATGCGTTTACATATTGGTTTCTTGTTAGTTTAAACAGTCTGTATGTATTGTCATCACTAGTTCGTTCACATCCATATCAGTAGTACCCTTTGAGTTCTAGCATTCTAAAGGTACACTTACATATGACTGAGTTGCTTTTAATTTTTTGATGACCGTTCGTGAGACACAATAGTTCGTAGCATGTAAGATTCTGTTCAATAAGAAATCTCAGTGAGCGTCCTCATCAAGTTAAAGGTGGGCTTTCCAGTCCATTTGCTGCAGATTATTCTCTAAAGGCAATGCATCCGATCGTTCGAAGTCCCAATACCTGTTGTACGTAAAATATTTTAGCTCAGTTTTGGTAATAAAGCAGGTTACTAACGGTGTGATGGCTTTTTTTGCAAGGAGCCAGGATTGAGAGGTCAATAAAAGGAGTTCTTCATTTGTGAAGATGCAGTTCCAAAGGGATGGTGTCTGAATGTTTCTCCGTCGAGTTGCTAACTTCAGATTTTTAAGTAATCCCGATTTGTCAATGAGGTTCAATAACCGAGCTTCAGTAGAGTTATTACCGCCGCAAATCTGTCAGGAACAGTACAGCAACGAATAAGCAAACAGTGATGCTCAGTTTGGGAAAAAAGAGGTCTTCGATAAAATCAATAATAACAGGACAAACATCAACACTAGTGAGGATAAGCTAAAACTCAGCACCGTTATAACATCCTGATGATTCCTTAGTTATCGTGAGTCTAAAAGACTATTGACCCTCAGTTTACTGGGCAAAAATGACAGGATTCTTTGGAAAGGGTTGAGCAGGAAACTAAAAATTCCCGAAATTTAATCACTAACGGTCACACAGCTTACCCTGGGGAAGGAGTCTTCACTTATCTGGGGAGTCCCATCAGTGCCGATGGCCTGGTGACTGACGAAATCTCAGCGCGGATACAGAAGGCCCGATTGGCTTTTGCCAACCTGCGTCACTTATGGCGTAGGCGTGATATCCGTTCTCTAATCAAAGGACGAGTGTACTGCGCAGCAGTTCGCTCCGTCCTCTTTTATGGATGAAATACATGGCCGGTAAGAGTAGAAGATGTTCGTAGGTTACTAGTATTCGATCATAGATATCTTAGAAGCATTACTCGTATATCCTGGGACAGCCGAGTAAGCAATGCTGTTGTTAGGAAACAAGTACTAGGTGAGGATGGCAGATCAATAGATGAAGTAGTGAAACTTCATTAGTTGAGGTGGTTGGGAAATGTGTTACGAATGCCTAACCACCGACTGCCTCGACGAGCTATGTTTTGTGGTGTAGGAATAGGTTGGAAGAAAGCTAGGAGCGGCCAGACCAAAACATGGCAGAAATCCAAGAAGTCATTGACAAGTGGACTGAGTCATGTCGGTAGATGTAGACTACCTGGTTGGGTTCCGCGAGACGAAAGTCACCAATGGTTAGAGACCTTTGAACGACATGGCTCGAAATCGTTTGCAGTCGCGGAAGTGCATCCATTCGTTGTTCTCTCTCAAATCCTAATCTTCTGGATTAGCCAGCACCTCTACCTTTGTCTTTCTAACCTTATCTCACTGAATTATACTTCTGGAATAATATCCTCAAACTCTAGTCTTCTTCATTACCATGAATACCTCTACTATCTTTATCACTGTGGGATTTGATTTCACATTTGCTTCTCTGTGCCAAGGTGGTATGGCAACATGAACTTTTGTACATACGTACGAAGTTCTACGTTCCAACTGACGGACTGACTGACTCATTCCATGTATCACTTATTCTCCAATGAATTTCATAACAAAATAACGAGCTTATTTCCTATCGGTTTTATATTGAATTTGTAATATTTTTGTCTTATTACAGATTATTATTATTATTAATTTTGTCTGCTTATGATATAATTTGTTTTCTGTCTCTATTTTAGCTGCAGAACTATAATAATTTTATAGCGAAAACCTACCTTTTCCTATTGAAATTAATGCATTCTTCGAAATTATCTCACTTCTTTGCAAACTTTTATCCTACTGTCATGAATCATAAAATAATTAGCGTTAAAGATGGTAAGTTCTGTTGATATGTTCGTGTTTTTTTTTATGATTTGTGAATGTTGTTCTATTCATGTACGAAGTTATGTGTGCAGGCTAGGTATTAAGCTCTGAATGATCTCGGGTGACTCTAGAGGTGCGTTAGTAATTGTAACCTTCGGTTGGCTGCACTTTTGAAATGCCTTAATTTATCTACGCGTGTATATCCACTTATACGGAAGTCCTACTAACTCTCTTATCGTCACACAGGTGTTGTTTACGAAATTAAGAGGACCAAACGCGAATGTCTGACTGAAACTTAAATCGGGTTGATGTGTACGGAGAATCCATTTCGAGGAATCGGAAAATCCTGATACTAAACCGGGTTACGGGTATGAGGGCGGTTGTCACTTCCCGGCTGCCCACACCTTCGAAGGGTGTTTCTAGACGAACCTGAAAAGGAAGATAGATTAGTGTTGGTCTTGGAGACCTGGGTGCGTGACCGTAGAGCCAAAGGGACAACTGCTTGAGACCGGTCACGCACGGCCTTTGTATGGAATGTTTTTTTTGAGTGTTAGCTCCGCTCTTGAAAGCCCTTAGTGGGCACCCTTACCGACGGAGACGGAAATCCGTGAGGTGAGGTCGGGTGTGGCATTTCTAGGGTCGAACTGTTCTAACCCATTCCTTCCTTGTGAGAATGCAGCATCGTTGCAGATGCTGGTTGTCCGAGGGAAACACCTTACGGCTGTCACACCCCTCTGCAGTCAGCAGTACAACTTCGCCGTCAGACCTTTGGTAGCTGCTTTTAGTCTCATCGTTCTCCAATCGACCAGCCTGGCATGGTAGAACCTTTAGGAACATATGTTCCAGCCAGTATAGCTCGATTGGGTCATCACGATAGGCAAGCCCGACCACCACGTCAAGGTAGCAGCTACGGTTGGGACAAGTTAATGAATTGTATTCGATATTTTTTCAAATGTATATAAACTATTCATTATTCCTAGAATATGTACGTGAATAACTTCATTTTTTTAACGATTAAAGTCAATTCGATTGATCATAGGCAATATTGCACTTGGTACTCATATATATGTTCTGATAGAACATTGAGAAAACGTAGTTGATCTGAGAATTGTCTCGATGTATTTGCGCGCTGTACATCTGGAATCAATCAGAAAGGATTTGATTGTGACCAATTTGGTCTTGTGTGCTTTTATGGGTATGAGGGCGGATGCTACTTCCCAGCTGCCCACACCGTTGAAGGGTTCTAGTTGTCAGAAGGGGCATCGACCTCATGAATTCCTAAGGAACTCAGCTTTCATCGTGAGACAATTCTAAATGAAAGTGAATCGAATAAACTGGTCCCACATATATATATTTTCTGGATAGGGTTGTGGAGATTGTTGAGTTACTCATCAGCACCGCGCATTCATGATTATGAATCCCATATGTCAGGACAAAACAGCCGTCTTTCAATGCTTCCATGTCTCTAATGATGGTCTAATATTGATCGATTCATGATTTCAAATATTGTATATGTTTGTCATGGCATTTTATATGAAAATTAATCAAAGTTCAACTAAACATAAGGTGATAATTGTAAATAAAAGAGGGAGAGATAGAGAGAAGAAAAATTCATTTAGTGTGGAGAGAACAGGAAATGGTCACTTTCCCCCGTCAAGGTCATAAATCAGGAGGAGTAGTAATCGGACATTAAAATCAAAGCTTACGAAACTTGTATCTTAAATGGCTTCAAAATTAGTTAACGTCAGACAGATAGCATGATGCAGAATAGAAAACCACGTTTATTGATAGCAAAACACATAAGATTGACATCAAAACACTCTTTAAAACATTGTGTAGAAACGTTCAAGGATGAATTCTGTGGTTCATGGTAGCTTTAGCTATTGGTAAATTCAAATCTCGTTTATGTATACAAAAACAGTTTGTTGTTTAACCTTGAATTTCTCCTGGTCATCTTTTGAGCCATTTTGATGGCCTAAGGGTAATATGACAATATCCTATTCTTTCATTTTCAGTCTCTTTTGAGTGTACACTTATTGTGACCTTATGTTTACTTGAACTTTCATTTATAACTGACCTTTTGTTATTAATTTTTGTGTAGAAAATGCCTTGACAAGTGTGTATGTGTGTACATATATGACCAGATTGTTCGAAATGTCATCGGATCAACTACGTCTTCCCATTGTTCTATGAATATTCCATATAAAAAGGACGAATTGTCTTAAACTTAGTACATATATATATTTCACTAAGTGGTTGTGAAGATTGTTAAGTTACACATTTGAAATCATGAATCGATCAATGTTAGACAACCGTTAAAAACCTGGAAGCACTGAAAGACTGCCGTTTCCTCCTGGTATGGGACTCATCAGCAGTGCGCATCCATGACTCCAACTACTCGCAGGATTCGAACCCAGGGCCTTCGGCCTTGCGCGCGAACACCTAACCTCTGGACTACTGAGCCGGTATCTAACGGTGTTAATGTCTAACTTCGATCAATTCATGGAGTTGCGCAACTTCATACACACAGTCTTCGGTAGTTATTGATTACAGGTTTCTAATGATGGTCTAACATTGATCGATTCATGATTTCAAATATATATTTGTTTAGTGTATATCAATATAGCTGAATGCGAGAGTAATGGAACTACAGTAACAACAGTATTAGAGGCATCGATAATCTGGCTCAAGAAGAAAGTTCAATTCATGTAATACTACGTTTATGGTGATTTTAAAACTTGGGAAATTCTATAGATGTCTTCGAAGCATTGATCGTGTATCGTGGGACAACCGAATAAGCGATGCTGTCGTTAGGAAACTAGTACTAGCTAGGGATGGCACATTAATTGATGAAGTATTAAAACTTCATCAGTTGGGGTGGATGTGTCCCGTATGCCCAACTATCGATTGCCTCGATGAGCTATGTTTTGCGATGTAGGAATAGGTTAAAAGAAAGCTAGTGGCGGCCAAACCAAAACATGGCAGAAATTCATGAAGTCACTGACAAGTGGACTGAGTGATGTTGGTAGATGTAGACTATCTGGTTGGGGTCCGTGAGATGATAATAATCGATGGTTAGAGGCTTTGAATGACATGGTTCAAAATGGTTTGCGATGGCGCAGGTGCATCCTTTCGATGTGTTCTCTCAAATCCTAACCTTCAGAGTTCCTCATCACCTCTATCTTTCTCTTTTCAAGTTTATTTCAGTAGATTCTACTTCTTGAATAGTATCTTCAAACATTGATCTTCTCCATTACTGCTAATACTTTTACTACCTCTACTAATATGGGATTTGAACTTAAAATTGCGTCTCTGTGTACTAATGTAGTATGGTAACTTGAACTGATATACATACGTACGAAGTTCTACATTGTAACTGACTGACTAAAGGGAAGAAAAACAACAAAGATTAAATGTAAATGTGCCGTGATGACTAAGGCTGAACCATATCACTCATCGTCTCTAATTACTGGTTATCATAATCAAGTGCAATCTCATTAGGATAACCTACACCTAACAACAACATAGTTCAAACCGGTTGCTTAGTGCTTACCTAAATTGATGCCTTGTCTTTGACATATCTATCTCCAACTTTCATCTGCACTATCCAATGTTCTCTTGTTGAGTAAATAATGGTGATGAGGTCGTCAATAAGAAAAAATAAATAACCAACGTAAAATTGAATATTGAAAACTCAAATCTGCAATGTTAATGCAGAGAAGTTGACAAAAATAGGATACTTTCGGGAAAAACAACGGTTATCTAGTTTAGAGTTTATTGATCATGATAACTGTAATCAAAAGCTTAATACATTGAAATTGTTATACAAAAAATAACAAGACGATATTGAAAAAAACGCAGAGAGTACTTTAAATAACTGGTCAAGACGTTTAGGTCTGTTCCACATAGTTGACTGTTTAGTAAAAGATACCAGTCTAATGCTTCCAGGTTTCCAATAAGTGGTCTAGCTAAGATCAGTTTGTGATTATTAACTACGAATATATAAAACAATCTCCATAAATCCCCTTCATTGATAACAATCATATACTCACTAGTGACTAGTTTTAATATGTATTCCTACGGTTAAAGTGAGAAACCGTGACCGATCGAGTTCAATCCGAGTTATCCACCACAGGGAATGGATGTAGGTTGTGCAAAATAACAGACTGATTGAAATGAGACATTAACACCGCTGGATTTCGATTTAGTGGCCAAGCGTTTGCGCACAAAACCGAAGGTTCTCAGTTCAATTCGCGCGCACGTAGTAGGCGTCGTTAGGAAACGAGTTCTAGGTAGGGATGGCTAATCAATAGATGAGGTTGTGAAGCGTCATCAGTTGAGGTGGTTGGGACTTGTGTTACGTATGCATAACCACCGACTGCCGCGATGAGCTATGTTTTGTGCTGTAGGAGTAGGTTGGAAGAAAGCTAGTGGCGGCCAAATCAAAACATGGCAGAAATGCATGAAGTCACTGACAAGTGGACCGAGTCATGTTGGTAGGTGTAGGCTACCTGGTTGGGGTCCGCGATACGATAGTCACCAATGGTTAGAGACCTTGAACGACATGGCTCAAAATCGTTCGCAATGGCGCAGGTGCATCCACTCTTTGTGTTCTCTCAAGTTCTAAGCTTCTGCATTCCTCATCATCTCTACCTTTCTCCTCCTAAATTTATCTCACTGAATTACACTTCTCGAATCATATCTTCGCTCCCTAATCTTCTCCATTGCTGCTAATACTTCTATTATTGCTATCACTCTTTGATTTGAACTGACAGTTGCATCTCTGTGCTGATGGGGCATGGCAACCTGAACTGATGTACTTATGTACGAAGTTCTTCATTGTGTCTGTCTCTGTCACGTAGTAGGTGTTGTGGGTGCACAGTGCTGACTAGTCACGTGCTATGACGCGGCCACCGTCCAATACTCTCAGGTTTCCAATGGTAACCTAGCTTAGATCAGTTTGTCATTTCTGACTGTGAAAATATCCGACATCCGTTAGTTTGCTCTATTGCAAATACATTAACTTGTGAGATTGTGCAAGCCCCCTGATTCATGTCATCATAATCGATAATCAATTTAGGCAATACACTGAGCTCAATTCAATTAACTTTTTTAAATTATTATTTTCATTTAGCAAGTTTAAATCTTAACTCAATTGTCCAATTGATCAGTCAAAATAATGGTGTCATAGCATTGCCGACAGATACAATTTATGGATTAGCTTGTTCTGTATACAATCCAAAAGCTATTGAACGAATACGTCAAATTAAAGGACGTGCAGAGAATAAACCAATGGCTATATGTTTAGATCAAGTAAGTAAGTAAAAACGGTTAGTGGGATTGTTTGATTTTGTTACTGATATATGTATAAGTAGTATTTGCATCAATCATGATGACCTGGTGACTGATGAACTCTCGGCATGGATACAAAGGGCTCGATTGGCTTTTGTAAACTTGCGTCAATTGTGACGTAGGTGAGATATCGGTCTATTAACCAAAGGATGAGTTTACTGTGCAGTAGCTCACTCTATCCTATTCTATGGGTGTGAAACTTCGCCAGTAAGAGTAGAGGATAGTCGTAGGCTGTCAGTATTTGGTCATAGGTGTCTTCAAAGCATTGCTTACAACCGAGTAAGTAATGCTGTAGTTAGAAAAAGAGTACTAGGTAAGGATAGCAAATCAATTGGTGAGGCAGTGAATTTTCATGAATCCAGGTAGTTGGGACATGTGTTACGCATGCTCAACAACTGACTGCTCCAACGAGCGATGGTGTCTAATTTGGTGGTAGTGTTAGGATATTCATCCAATATCCCAAGAGAATTATTGGTCAATTCCTATTGGTTAATTCCTACTGATAAATTTTGTGATCGTCCTAGATATCAATGTTACATGCTCCAATGTTGTTCCTCATTGGTTTTCCTGACTATCAATGTCACTTCAAGTGTTGCTTCCTATTGGTCGTCATAACTATGAATGTCACACAATTCGATGCTGTTTCCTATTCGATCAAAATGTATAAATACGCATTATGTGTAACGTTTTTTGACCACGACCAGGACCCGGTCCCGGATCCCTAGTCCGGGATCTTGATTCTCTTCTCGACTTGGACCTCGTACTTTCTGGATGCTTGTGGAATACACGTTCTACTTCATATCATATCTTCTTATTATCACTGAATATGGGGGTTGGGATAATCGGATTTGTGTAGCATGTCGTGTCGCCGGATCCTCGATCCTCGCTCTCGTTTTCCGACTAGGTAAACTCGTAATAGTTCAAGTCTATCAAGTTGACGTGTTTACGTGCAGGCGTAACGGGTAGGTCGGGAGAAATCTGGGGGCGGCGAAGCCAAAACATGGCAGAAATCCATGAAGTCACTGACAAGTGGACTGAATCATGTTGGTAGATGTAGACTACTTGGTTGGGGTCCGCGAGATGATACTAATCTATGGTTAGACACCATGAATGGCTCAAAACCGTTTGCAATAGCGCAGGTGCATTCATTCTCCGTATTCTCTCAAATCCTAATCTTCTGAGTTCCTTGTCATGTTTATCTTTCTCTTTCTACGTTTATTTCATTGAATTATACTTGAATAGTATCTTCGAACCTTAATCTTCTCCATTATCGCTAATACTTCTACTACACCTACTACTATGGAATTTGAATTGACAATTTGCTCTCTGTGTGCTAGTATGATATGGCAATTTGAACTGATGTACGTTCGTACGTACGTACAAAGTTCTACGTTTTAGCTGACTGACTAACTATAATACCAGACCTAGATCAATCAAGGCTTCCCGCCCGACTATCTTCTAACATATATGTATATTCTCGTTCATTTCTATTCATAGTGTATAACACTCTTTACTTTCTATTTATGCATAATAATTCATCAGGTATCACATATTTCTCATTGGTGTGATACTAGAAATATTCCAACTGGTCTGTTATCGGATCTTTTACCCGGTCCTGTTACTGTTCTATTACCACGTTACTCTGATCAACTTGAAGACCCATTAAGCAATCACTTATTAAATTCAAATGAAAAACGTGTTGGTATTCGAATACCCGATTCCGGATTTATACGTAAACTTATCTCAGCTTTACATGAACAAACAAAGAATAACAACACTGGTGATGATCGTAGCGGCGGTGGTCATCCATTGGTATTAACTTCAGCAAATTTAAGTGGACAGCCGTCAGCAATTCAAATTGAGGTATGAATTATTGTTGTGTTGTGTGTGTTTAGATAGTTTTACTTTTGACAAATTTGAAAGTATCCAATCATTGTCATCATAATCGTTAACGTTATGGTCTAGGATGAGTTTTTTTATGTGTTAACGTCGATTCTCATCGCCTTCCCCATATGGCTCACATGATTAGTACAGCTAAAAAATTTGTTGGACAGTAAACGCCAATGGTTGAATGATGATTTCAAATGTGTAAAAACACTAATCTCCATCACTCTAATCGAGAATATCGTAAAATGTGCTCACTAGTGACTAGCTTCGTGAGGAAATTCTCGGAGTTCTAGTTGAGAAGACGTGACCAATGGAGTTCAACCCTGTCGGGTGTAGGCAGTAACTACGAAAGACAAATGGGTGAGGTCGCGCAAAATCCCTAGATCAATCAGAGTTAGACATTAACACCGTTGGATGCCGGCCCAATGGTCCGATGGTTAGGCGTTCGTGCACAATACCGAAATTCTCGGGTTCGAATCCTGCGAGGAGCAGGAGTCGCGGATGCGCACTGCTGATGAGTAGTTCCATACCAGGACGAAACGGTAGTTCAGTTCTTCCAGGTTTCTAATGGTGGTCTAACAATGATTGATTGATGGTTTCAAATGTGTAATAGCGTTATTCTTTAAATGCACGGAATTTGAGAAATAACCAGTTGAGCTCTACAAATTTGTTACGGGTTCGGTCCCGTGTGCATTTTTTTGCAGCGAGTTGGATTTCTACAGAATGTGGTCTAACCCTACACTCAACCCTCCTTTATCCAGGCTCGGGGCCAGCAGTAACCCTAGAAGGGCTCCAGGTGGAGTTGATCTGTTCAAAACTTAATCCAAATTAATCCATATACGTATGAAGTGGCTTATAAAATTAGTACGCAATGGAGTGTCATCCAAAAGTTACTGCCGGAGAGAGGAGATTGGCAAGAGAAAAATATTTTGAAAACTAGAAGATGATAACCAACTGAAAATTTGAAGTTAAAGTCTCGATATTTTGTTAGTAACCTGTGTCTTTCCTCAAATACATAACTATTCCATGTTGCGTTAACATTCTCGTTCATCATATTGGTACTAAATGTTAATACAACAGTTCCTTCTCTGATTTCCCAAAGCATCTTACAAAATGTGCATCTGACCAATTCCCCTTAGAATCCACAATTTCTCGTCAATTACTTCAAACATTGATACTTGGTCATACATTTTATATTGGTTATCTATCTTGTCTAAATTGCTTCATACTGTTAGTTCTACGCCCATTCACTGTAATGTTTTTTTCTCCATAAAGGAATTTTCCGAGATTTGGTCATCGATCGATTTGATCGTTAATGGTGGTCCGATCCAATCGGATTTGTGCTCTGTTGACTCGGATTGTAGTCGAGCTGGTTCAACTATCATAGATTTATGCGATTGTGATAAGTCGGTTTATTCTGTGATACGAAAGGGCAGGTAAATATTTTCGCATTACAGTATACACTACTTACATTTCAAATATGAGTAGTATTTGGAGTGATAATGAAAATAGTTTCGTGTTTGATTTTCCTGTAATGTACAATTCTGAAATAATTTCAAATTTTTTTAGATGAAGTGATTAGTTTTTAAGTGGTGTTTTGATATAACGACTAACGAATAAAAAAATCATCAAGATATCTTCTACTCAGTTACGCCTGTTATCCCTAATGCAGCATAGGCTGACGATCAGCATTCTTCAGCTCATTCTGTCCTACGCCTTCCTTTCCATTTCTACTTAATGACTGGTTATTCATTATTTTCATGTCGGTTTCCGATTCCCGGCGCAGTTTATTACGTCTATCTCTTTTCCTTTGGCTTTGAGGGTTCCAACTTAAGTAAGGTATCTTGTGGAGGAGAGAATTATTCTGACGGAGTTTCGTTCTTCACTATATCAAAAGAGAATATTTTAATAAAGACTAATAATAACTGTGGATAAGTAATGAAGGTCTAAGCACAATTAATCATTGAATGTCGAAAATAAAGATGGCGCGTTTTGAGACGACAATCAGATAAGTGATTTTAACATTGTGCTTTTTTCTACACATCGATTAAACTGGAATCGGTGATTAGTTAGACCTAACTATTGATCCAATCGAGCATAGAAATTCTTGGAGATACGTTACAAGAGAGCGCTTTTTATGCTCTATAGATGCAGAGGTTGAAACACAAACCATTTGGCGTTCAACAGATTCAGTACACAGATTGCACCCGACCGAAGCTGCTACCTTGACGTGGTGGTCGGGCTTGCCTATCGTGATGACCCAACCGAGCTATACTGGCTGGAACATATGTTCCTGCAGGTCCTACCATGCCAGGCAGGTCGATTGGAGAACGATGAGACTAGAAGCAGCTACCCAAGGTCTGAGGGCGAAGTCGTACTGCTGACTGCAGAGGGGTGTGACAGCAGTAAGGTGTTTCCCTCGGACAACCAGCATCTGCAGCGATGCTGCCTTCTCACAAGGAAGGAAGGGTTAGAAAAGGTCGGCCCTAAAAATGTCACACCCCCTAACTCACGGATTTCCGTCTCCCTGGGTAAGGGTGCCCACTAAGGGCCTTTAAGAACGGAGCTAATCCTCAAAATACCTTTGATAAAAAGGCCGTGCGTGACCGGCCTGAAGCAGTTGTCCCTTGGACTCTGCGGTCACGCACCAACACTAATCCATCTTCCTTTTCAGGTCCCTCAAGAAACAACCTTCCACGGTGTGGGCAGCCGGGAAGTGACAACCGCCCTCATACCCGTACCAGCACGCGAGACGAAATTGGTCAAAATCAAATCCTTCCTACACCCCCTAATGTCTCTCTTATCTCTACGACTAACTCTACTCACACTCCCTTTTCTCACTGCACCGCTAATGCAGATGAAGTGAGATCACGAAACGTCGTTCCTGGTCTCTTGAAACCCCGTTCTAGACTACATATTGGAGCTTTTAATGTACGGACATTGTGTCAAATAGGGCAACAGGCATCATTAGCTAGGACTTTAGAATCTCGTGCCATCGATGTATGCTGCGTCTCGGAAACGCGCATACAGGATCCTAGTAAAGTCATTAACCTGATTTCACCTTGTCAAAACGTAGAAACAGCTCGATTTACTCTTCGTATATCCGGTAGCCCTGATGCTGCTTCCAGGGGTCTTGCTGGGGTAGGCATAGCGTTGAGTCCTAGGGCAGAATTATCTCTCCTAGACTGGATCCCAGTAGATAGTCGTTTGTGCGCTGTCCGACTAAACGGGACATTAAGGACTCGTAAGGATAGGGACACTCGCCGTTGCCTCTTCGTCATATCTGCCTATGCCCCCACTGACTGCAGTGCAGACGAGGTTAAAGATGAGTTTTACAGAAAGCTTTCGGACCTCCTTCAAAAAGCTAGGCGCTCTGATATAGTAATAATGGCTGGTGACTTTAATGCTCAAGTAGGTAGACTAGGTGAAAAGGAAAGACATCTTGGTGGATGTTATGGTGTAGCGACTGAGAGAACAGACAATGGAGACCGTCTGTTGCAACTATGCTCAGATAACCGCCTATTCTTAGCGAACACCAACTTTAGGCATAAGGAAAAGCATCTGCTGACCTGGCGACCTCCAAAGTCGTCTCAACGTTGGACTCAACTAGATCACATCGCCATCAGTCACCGATGGAGGGGTTCGATAGAAGACTGTCGCTCGTTCTGGGGCACATGTTTGGATTCAGATCATGCTCTAGTGCGAGCTCGTATCTGTTTAAGGCTTACTGGGCGTAGGAAAGACACCGTAAGAAAGCCTCTCAGGGTTTTACTTAATGATAATCAAACCAAGAAAATATTTCAGGAGGAACTAGAAAGAGAGTTATGCAACGATGTAAGTGATTCCCATCCAGAAGCAGGTTGGTATGATATCAAAAAGGCTGTGGAAACGGCAGTGATATCTGCTAGTAAGGTAAACCATAAGGCTAGGATGAAGCCGTGGATATCAGTCGCATCCACCGAACTGATGGATGCTCGAAAACGCATCCCACCTGACTCTGAGCATGATGAAGAGCGTAGTCAGCTTAGGCGTAGACTTATAAAAAGTCTGCGTAACGACCGTGAACAGTGGTGGGTGGCGAAAGCAAAAGCGATGGAAAAGGCAGCGGCGATCGGCAACAGTAGACAACTTTTCCGCCTTATTAAAGAAACTGGTATTAAGAACCCGAATGTGAGTGAGACTATCTCGGAAAAGGATGGTCTTATTATCCATTCTCAATCCAGGAGACTGGATCGATGGGCAGAACACTTTAGGGATCAGTTCAACTGGCCACGAGCCACTCTTCGGTTACCCACGATCTCCAGTCATCCTGAATGGCAAATCGACCTAAGTCCCCCTAGTCTTGATGACGTTGAGAAAGCGTTAGGAAATCTGAAACGAGGACGAGCTGCAGGTCCTGATAGACTGACCCCCGAGATATTTAAGGATGGTGGTCCAGTTTTAGCAGCTAGGTTGACTGAGATCTTAGGTAAAATCTGGGAACTGGACGTAATCCCATCCGACTGGTCTCAATCCTTGATTGTCCCAATCTATAAGAAAGGACAAAAGTCCTCTTGTGACAATCACAGGGGAATAAGTCTAACTAATATAGTATCTAAAATACTGGCCTCAATAATACTTCGACGCTTAACGAAAGCTCTTGAAGAGCAGACTCGAGAAAACCAGTCTGGTTTTCGACCTGGACGTGGTTGTATAGACCACGTCTTCACACTCAGACAGGTCCTGGAACATAGACACACATTTAGGCGTCCTACAATAGTTGTTTTCCTAGACCTTAAGGCGGCATTTGACTCAGTGGATCGTAAGGTTCTGTGGCAGTGTCTGTCATTGAAAGGTGTACCACAGAAGTACATTAACCTTATACAAGCTCTTTACTCGAACACCACTGGTCGAGTGAGGGCTTATGGCGAACTGTCACCGGAATTCTCTACATCAAGTGGTGTCCGTCAGGGATGTCCACTTTCTCCATTCTTGTTTAATTTTATCATAGACATGCTCCTAGACATAACCTTATCCTCGTCTGAATTTTCAGGAGTAGAACTTCTACCAGGTGGCTCGCTGATTGACTTAGAATATGCCGATGACATTGTCCTACTTGGTGAAGACGCTGACAAAATGCAGAGTCTTCTGACTACCCTAAGCAACAATGCAAGCATGTTCGGGTTGCGATTTTCCCCCTCGAAATGCAAAATGTTGCTTCAAGACTGGGTTGCATCGGCACCTGAACTAGTGATAGGGAGTGAAGTAGTCGAACGTGTAGACCGCTTCACTTATCTTGGGAGTCTCATCAGTGCCGATGGCCTGGTGACTGACGAAATCTCAGCACGGATACAGAAGGCTCGATTGGCTTTTGTCAACCTGCGTCACTTATGGCGTAGGCGAGATATCCGTTTGCTGACTAAAGGACGAGTGTACTGCGCAGTAGTTCGCTCCGTCTTACTTTATGGCTGTGAAACATGGCCAGTGAGAGTAGAAGATATTCGTAGGTTAATGGTTTTCGATCATAGGTGTCTTCGAAGCATTGCTCGTATATCGTGGGACACCCGAGTGAGCAACGCTGTTATTAGGAATCGGGTGCTAGGTAAGAATGGCAGATCAATCGACGAAGTATTGAAACTTCACCAGTTGAGGTGGTTGGGACATGTGTTGCGTATGCCCAACCACCGGCTGCCTCGTCGAGCCTTGTTTTGTAGTGTAGGAATAGGTTGGAAGAAAGTTAGAGGCGGCCAAACCAAAACATGGCAGAAATCCATGAAGTCATTGACTAGTGGACTGAGCCATATTGGTAATTGTCGACTACCTGGTTGGGGTCCGCGAGATGATAATAATCGATGGTTAGAGACCTTGAATGACATGGCTCAAAATCGTTCGCAATGGCGCCGGTGCATTTATTCTCTGTGTTCTCTCAAATGCTAATCTTTTTGGATTCTTCAACACCTCTAGTTTCGACTCTCTAAACTTATCTCACTGAATCATACTTCTTGAATAATATCTTCTAATCCTAACCTCTCCGATTATTTCTAATTCCCTTACTACCTCTTCTACTATTGGATTTGAATTGACGATTACTTCTCTGTGCTGATGTGGTATGGCAACATGAACTGATGTACTTATGTACAAAGTTCTACGTTGCATCTGACTGACTGACACAGATTGCAACTTCATCACTAATAGCTTTTGAAGTTTTTTTTCTGTTAATTCGTGAAGATTTATTGGTAGATTTTATTGTGTAAGGTGATATAGTTGTTAGTCAAGTAATGAATTGACTTGAATAATTATGTTGAATATCCGTTGGAGTTATGTATTCACATTCCGGAAGTTATCAACTATTACGAATGCTCAACTACCGACTACCTCGGGGAGCGATGATGCTTGAAGCAGGGGTAGGTTGAAAGAAAACCATGCGGCGGCCAAACCGAAACAAGCCACTAATCCATGAACTGAACCTTATTGTTAGATGTAAACTACTTGGTTGGGGTCCGCGGGACGATAGTAACCGATGGTTAGAGACCTTGAATGATATGGCTGAAAATGCTTCACAATGGCGCACGTGCATCTGTTTTTCGTATCCACTCAAATTCTAATCTTTTGAATTCCTCATGACCGTCTTTTTCTTCTTAAATTAATTCCTCTGGGCTATACTCCTTGGATGATATCTTCGAATGCTAAGTTTTTTGATTACTACTAATAATTCTACTACTATAGGATTCGATCTCTGTTCTAATAATATGGTATGGCAAATTGAACTGATGTGCGTACGTACGAAGTTCTACGTTGTAGCTGAGTGACTGGCTGTTAGATTAAACTGTTTAGTTTTGAAAATCTAAGCTGATTTAGTTGAAGGTGGCTTTGAGTTATGCATAGCTTTGTGGTGTTTACTAATTTACACCATCAATCCCTCGGTAATCTCATCTAACTCTTCCATAATATATTGTAGTCGCTTAATAAATTGATACACATGTCTTTTTTCGAGTTCTACATGGATTATTATGACTGGTTGTTGTTGAATTGGTTACTCACCAATCAATCAAAAGCGACGTAGAACTTCGTACTTACGTACACTAGTTCAAGTTGACGTATCACTTTAGCATAGAGATGTAATTGTCAGTTCAAATCCCATAATAGTAGACGTAGTAAAAGTACTAGCAGTAATCGGAGAGATTAGAGTTCGGAGATGTTATTCAAGAAGTAGAATCTAGTGAAATAAACTTAAAAAGAAAAAGATTATGTGATAAGGGACGCCGAATGTTAGAATTTGAGAGAACACGAAGAATGAATTCACTTGCTTCATCGCAAACGGTTTTGAGCCATATCATTCGAGGTCTCTGACCATCGATTAGCATCATTTTGCGGACTCCAACCAGTTAGTCGACACCTACCAACATGACTCAATCCGGTTGTCAGTGACTTCATGGATTTGTGCTATGTTTCGCTTTAGTTGTCCTTAGATATCTTCCAGCCTATTCCTACACCACAAAACACAGCTTGTTGAGGCAATCGGTGGTTGGACATTCGTAACACATTTCCAAACCACCTCAACTGATGAAGTTTCAATACTTCATCTATTGATCTGCCGTCCTTACTTAGTACTCGTTTCCTAATAACGGCATTGCTTACTCGGTTGTTCCATGATACACGAGCAATGCGGTTACTCAAAATAGAATATGTTTATTGAATAATGTAATGCGTATTTATAATGGTGAATGACGATGACAGCTGTTCTCCATATTCGTTTCCATTCTAACAAGAATTGTTTCTTTTCGTCTCTCTCTCTTTCTGTTTAGTGCATTCGATGCAACAGTGGCCATATTAGAAGATCGTTATCATTTGTCTGCAACGAAGTCCTCCTAGACACACACACACTGTGACAAGTGAAATTTTTAATTCAATTTCATTCTTCTTGTTTCTTTTATCACAAATACTGGTCCCATGTAGAATTAAAAACGAACTACACTTGTATTTGGTCACCTCAATCAATCAATCAATCAATAGCAACGTAGAACTTCGTACGTACGTACATACATACGTACATCAGTTCAAGTTGCCACATACCATATACGCACAGTTTGATCCCTTTGTTCTGTAGGTCTCCCCTCCCCCCCCGAAAGAAAAAACGCGCCAAAAATATAGTTTGATGTGTGATGAGCTTGTTTTATTTTGCTCTTCTCTTTTTTTATCATTTTCTATCCCTTTTTTCCTGTCTTTATCACTTCCAAAAAATATTTTAGAAAGATTTATTTTATCCTCTAGATTACGTTATACTTGTAGAAACTTCTGTAATCTTTATGTACACTGGATTCTTGATGAACACAATACTATATTGTAACATTCCTTATGATTGTTAATCTTACTTATTGTTGACAAAAATGTACCCATATATTTTTCATTCCCCACAGGTTAAGACAAACACTATCCATGACATAAGATGAAGATGATGATGTTGATGTTGTTAATTTTTTCTGTTTCTGAATTCGATTTTTTGTTTTAAAAGTTTGTAAACCAATTGTATCGATTAGCATGTCATATTGTTTGTGTGAATGGCTGATTGTGAAAGTGTATATGCATTATCTGTGAATGCAGTATATGTTACGCCTGCACTTAAACACGTCAGTTTGATATGCTTGAATGCTATTACGAGTTTACGTTAGTCGGAAAACGAGATCGAGGATTCGGTGACACGACATACTACTCTAATCCTAGTGTCCCAACCCCCTCCCATTGAGCTAACGAAGGAGACCTGATTTGAAGTAGATTCTGTATTCTACACGCATCCAGAAAGTACGAGTCCAGAAGAGAATAGGGATCCAGGTCATAAAACGTTCCAGATAGTTACAGTTAGTTCGAATAGGAACCAACATTGATGGTTAGGACGACTATAATATTGACCAATAGGAATCAACCAATAGAACTAGACTTACAAATAAAACTCTCTTAGGATATTGGTCGAATATCCTAAAAGTATAGTTCTGATTGGATAAAAGTGAGGAAACCTAATATTTATATTGCCGACCTTCATGTCTAAAAAAATGTTATTACATTGTGTGCAATTTGTGAGAAATTCATCGGAACTTGTGTTTACTTGAAGCGGAAGTGTAGAAATAATTGTTAACGATTAGAATGGGGGTTAGACAGTAATGGTCAAATGTACTGTATTATGCCATACCATACCAATATCACATCAAGTAATGTTTTGTATTGTGTAATTGTTATGCTCGTCTCTAGGTATGCTGAAAAACTATTACGAGCTCACCTTAGTCGAATAACGAGAACGAAACAATGAATCAGCGTCCAGGTTGGAGGCTACTGTGATCCCTTGACCAAACTGAATCAGTCAGAAGTCTTGATATAGTGTAGAAATTGTATTCTACAAAACACTCAGCCAGCATACAATGAATCCAAGCACTCAAATTGCGTTTATTTATACTCTATAGAGACGTCGTTGGGACAGTCACAAAAATAGCTCACTAAAATGACACAGTAACCAATCACAGCCAAGGATTTTCCTGGTGGGACATGTGATCTGAAGGTCAACTGATTGGTCCATGAAATCAATCCAAGTTAAAGATATTTATCAAGCCAGTTCCTGGGATCTAACATCTCCAACAGTAATCTACATATTTTGTAGCTGTAGTCAAACACAAGTTTAATGTACCACACTATGAGGTTAAAAGAACTTATGTAATTTTCCTGAGATAGTGGAGACAATATGTAGCTCAGGTCAATGATTGTGGTGCTGTTTCGTTCTCTGAGCTGGATGTTTTCGTTGTGAAGCTTTCACTGTTGATTAGTTGATCAAACTTATAGTCGAGTGAGAGTAGACAATAAATGTCATGTGTATTGTTACGTTTTCATATTACTATGAGATTTGAATTAACAATTGCATCATTGTGCTATGGTAATTTGAACTGATGTACGTGCGTACGTACAAAGTTCTACGTTGTGGCTGACTGACTTCTAGGTTTCATTAAATGATTGTCATTAGTGGACAAAGTTTACACCTTGGGTTTTGGATTCCTGATAGCTTTATTGTTGTATCGTCAACTTCTAGAACGAAGATATGCGTTTGGACGCCCCACAATAGTTGTATTGCTCGACCTTAAGGCGGCATACGGTTCTGTCGATCGTATGGTTCTCTGGCAGTGTCTGTCATTGAAGGGGGAACCAAAGAATATACATTAACTTCGTACAAGCTCTATACTCAAACACCACTGGTCGAGTGAGAGTTTATGACGAACTGTCACCGGGATTCTTTACTTCAAGTGGTGTCCGTCAGGGATGTCCACTCTAAATTCTTGTTTAATTTTTTCATAGACATGCTCCTAGATATAACAATATCATCTTTTTACTCTTCAGGAGTGGATCTTCTACCAGGAAAATCGCTTGTTAGAATATGCCGATGACATAGTCCTATTCGATGAAGATACTGACAAAATGCAGAGTCTTCTGATTACCCTAAGTAACAATACAAGCATGTTCGGGATGCGGTTTTCCCCCTCGAAATGCAAAATGTTGCTTCAAGATTGGGTTGTATCGGCACCTGAACTAGTGATAGGCAGTTGGGCATGTTGACCGCTTCACCTATTCGGAGAGTCTCATCAGTGCTGGTGACTGACGAAATCTCAACACGGAGACACATTGGCTTTTGTCAACCTGCGTCACTTATGGCGTAGGCGAGATATCCGTTCGCTGACCAAAGGACGAGTGTACTGTGCAGTCGTTCACTCCGTCCTACTTTATGGCTGCGAAACATGGCCAGTCAGAGTAGGTTGCTTATTTTCGATCATAGGTGTCTCCGAAGCATTGCTCGTATACCGTCGGATAACTGAGTAAACGATGCTGTTGCTAGGAAACGAGTGCTAGTTAAGGATAGCAGGCCAATAGATGAAGTAGTAGAACTTCATCAGTTGAGGTGGTTGGGACACGTGTTACGTTTGCCCAACCGCCGACTGCCTTGATGATCTAGGGGGCGGCCAAACCAAAACATGACAGAAATCCATGAATTCACTGACTTCTACAACCCCAACTATTATGGGATTCGAATTGAAAATTCGATTTTTGTGTGCTAATGTGGTGTCACAACTGCTTCAATGTAGTCAGGAAATTGTATATGGAAAGTAATATCATATAATATTCCTGTTATTGATCATATGCAGCAGCAAAATTATCACAATAGATTGACATATATCTATCCCTTTCAAACTAAATCACCTCTTGGAAATCAAGGTCAATTTTTTCGGTCATTCATATTTACTTATCATTTACTTGATTTCTTACTAGCCTAGTTTACTAGGTCATTTAGTATTTGTCTGATAGATGACCTCTGTGTTGTTTGATAGTTCCATCTTCAAATCTATTCCCTTTGTTTTAGTTAACGGCATTTTCGATGTTATTCTTTCCGACTGATGATAATAATCGATGGTTAGAGACCCTGAATGACATGGCTCAAAACCGTTTGCAATGGCGCTGGTGCATTTATTGTTTGTGTTCTCTCAAATCCTAATCTTCTGGATTCTTCAACACTTCTAGTTTTGTCTTTGTAAACTTATCTCACTGAATCATACTTTTTGAATTGTATGTTCTAATCCTAACCTCTCCGATTAATTCTAATACCTTTACTACCTCTACTACTATTGCATTTGAGTTGACAATTATAGCTCTGTGCTAATGTGGTATGACAACATGAACTGATGTACTTACGTACGAAGTTCTACATTACATCTGACTGACTGACCCTTTCCGACTACTTTTTATTCACCTTGCTAACATGAAACTTGACTAAGTGAACAGACTAATAAGTAGATCTTAATTTATTTTTGACTAGTTAATCGGATAAAAATTCTGGCTAACGAGTTTAACATAACAAAATGGAAAAAAAATATTTCTTGTTCAGGGTGGGGGTCGTAGCTTTGCACTGCTGATGAGTTCCATATTAGGAAGAAATAGTCGCTCAGTGATTCCAGATTTCCAAATGGTGGTCTAACATTGATCGATTCATTATTTCAGAGGAAATGCCATCAGTTACACAAAGAATAACTTGAAACTCTGATCAATAAATAAGGTGGATAGTTGTTCGCAACGGAATTCAGGTACTGAGTTTTATCCTATTTCCGACCTTTTGCCTAAATCCCCGTCCCATTGTAGTTTTGATGTTTACAGTAAAACTTGAAAGCGGTACTTTTCAATTCCTATAAGCTAACATTATTCGATAACTAGTATTCGTAGATGTCAGTATTTATTTTTGAAATTTAACGATATTACTTTATTAGTTGCAAAGTAGTATAATATTTTTGAAATATATTTTATTCTGGGACTCCATCGTTATCTATTGAATGTACAGTGAAACGGTATTGAGATGAAACTTAAATAAATCGTTTGTGTATAGACTTCTTTGATGATATGCTTCTAGGTATCGATATATAAGGTGTTGATTTAAAAGGAATTCATCTAATATCCGTGTCCCGTGTCATTATGAAAATTTATTATGGCGATTGTTAATATGTTGCGAGAATATAGTCAACATTATACGGAACTCTTACAATGGATTAAACTGAGGAATTATACATGGGGGACCACTCATAGATTTGTTCGGAATGAAGACCGCTGTCAGGCAAGGTTGCTTATTCCCACCATTTCTCCTAGTGATTGAATAGTTATATGAATTCGTCAATATCTTGGAGGAAGCATGGGATGCAGTGGACAACTAAGATGCAGCTGGACTTCGCAGAAGATCTGATTCTTCTGTCTCACACGCTAAAACAAATGCAAATTTAAGAAGACCATTGTAGCAGCAGTATATGTCAACAGATACAAGGTGAAAGCAAGATTCTCCGATAAACACAACATGCACCAATCAAATCACACTTGATGGAGATGCCTTGGCGGATGTAAAACCTTTACACATATGAACGATATCATTGACGAGCAACATGGATCTGATGCAGATGTTAAGTCCTGGACTGGCGAATCAAGAGCAGCATGTCTGCAACTGGAGTACATCTGGAATCCAAAACAGCTATCAACAATCACCGAAGTCGGAATTTTCAATACAGATGTCAAATGTCTGCTGTATGTGGGCGGAAACTTGAAGTATGAGGAACACCACCATCCACAAGATACAATTGTTTGTGAACAGTTTTCCACGCTAACAATACTTCGAATCTGTTGGTCAGACACTATCAACAACAAACTACTGTGGGAGAAATCAAGCCAGATTCCAGCAGAGGAAGAAATTTGTACACGAAGTGTATCATCCATCAGTGTCGATCGATCGATTCATTCATCAAGTGAACTATTCAACTCACTTAAATTACCAAACCATCCTGTTAAGTTCGTCACCACTAGGTACGCTTGAAGCTATTGCGAGTTCACCTTAGTCGATAAACGCGAACGAGAAAATGAACCAGAGTCCAGGTAGGCTACCTTGAATCCCAAAATGCAAAACAGAAGTCTTGGTAGGCGTAGAAAGTATATTCTACAAACACCCAGCAATCACAATACAATCAAGCACACAACTCTCCTTTATTAATACACCATGGAAACGTCCTTGGGACAGTCACAAAAATAGCACGCTAAAAT